ATTAGTTTCGGCATCTAACAACATATTTTGTTTGCTTTGTAATTCCAAAAATCACGAATCGAAAGATTGTTCTCTGACCATTGAAGAAAAAAAACAAATGCTAAAAGATCAATTTCGCTGTTTCCGGTGCTTAAAGAAATATCACACATCCAAAAACTGTTGGAATAAATGTATTTGCACATTATGTAAGAAACCGAAAAGCGAATTAATTTGCGATAAATCAGCAATAAATAATGAGTCGAAAGAGAAAAACGATACTTTAGCATTCGTTACCGCTTCATGTGTTTCGAAACGAAAACAAAATGAAATGATCTATTTACAGACTTCTTTAGCGTATTTGATTTATGGTAATGTAAAGAAGTTGGTTAGAATTTTATTTGACTCTGGTAGCCATCGAAGTTTTTTGAAACGTGATATTTGTAATGAGTTGAACCTCAGGACCATTAAAACTGAACGGTTGCATGTTTTCGGTTTTGGAGAAAAAATTTCTAAGGGGTGTTCTTACGATTTAGTGAAAGTAAATCTTCAGAACAAAAACGATAAAAAATTAAATGTTTGCATTGAAGCATTTGTAGTAGAAAAAATAACGTGTGGGAAAATAGCCGCACCCCATGAGAAAATTAAATAATTAGCAAGGAAAAATAATATTTTTCTTTCGGATACCGGAGAAATTGCTGATATAGACATTTTGATCGGTGCCGATTTCCTACATGACGTAATTTTTGATACGTCTTTGAGACTGGGAAAAGGACTCTTTGCAACCGATAGTTTATTTGGTTTTGTGGTTCAAGGGAGATTCATGAATAATTGCCAATTAAGTAGGATTGTAAATAATAGTATAATATCTGATGTTGATTATTCTTTGTTTTGGAACCTTGAAGGATTAGGAAGAAATACTATGAACGAAGAAAATGTTGATAATAAAAGTGAATTGTTAAAAGGTTTTAATTCTGATTTGCATTTTGAAAATAATAGGTATAGTGTGCAACTTCTCTGGAGACCAAATACAAAACATTTGTTAAATGATAACTTTGAGCTGGTTTCAGAGAGGTTTGACAAATTAAAAAGGAGATTCAAAAATGATAAATCCTTGTTTGAAGAATATAACAAAGTTATAAAAACTTACGAAAACGAAGGGATAATTGAGAAAGTTAAAAACACTGATCCCCAAAATTATAAACAATGTTATTTACCTCATAGGGCGGTTATAAGAAACGATAAACTAACTAACAAATTAAGGATTGTCTTTGACGGTTCCGCGCATAAAAAAAAATGAATTGTCTCTTAACTGTGGAAATAAGTAGTTTCCAGTTATAAACTTTAGTGTTTGAGTTTTTTTTTTTTTTTCAGATTCGTTTCCAGGATGGAAGTAAAGGGAATTCAAGAAACAAGCATTCAATCAATGTGACGTACGAAATCGTTATCTATAAAAGAACGAACAATTTCTTCTTTCATGCCGGTGGAGAGGGATGAGTAGCCCACTCATCTTTTGAGTCTTTGGCCGATTGTAGGTGATGATCCTATATATATATTTGTATATTCAATTAGAATTTTAGATTTAAGTTAACCATTGAAAGTAATAATAAATGTGTTCCAGGTTATTTGTGTACTTCATGATTTTTAGCATACTCTGTTTTGTGAGTTAAATCCACATTAACGACTGTTTGTATATTGGGCCAAATTTATACCCAGATATACATGAACTTATGCTAGTGTTTCGGTAAAACAAGATTGCTTTTATAGGGGACGTTCAACAAGCTTTCTTACAAATAGGGATTAATGTAGAAGATCGAGATGTCACAAGATTTCTTTGGTCAGATGACTCCGATAATGATTCGTCTACAGTAATTTATAGATTTTGCCGCATACTATTTGGTATCAACTGTAGCCCTTTTCTCTTAGCGGCTACTATTAAAGAGCATATTAAAAAGTTTGCAAAATCAAAGCCTCTTGCGTATGAATTACTAAATGAAAGGGTATATGTCGATGACGTCATAGGGGGAAGTGACAGTACAGATACAGCATTTCAAATAAGTTCTGATTGTGTTGAAATATTTCGGGATGCGGGCATGGNCAAGGGTGAAAATGGAATAAAGAAATCATATATAGCCTTGTTCACATGTGCAGTCACGAGAGCAATACATCTTGAATTAGTCACAGACATGTCTACTTCGACTTTTCCGCTCGCATTCAGAAGATTTGTCTCTAGAAGAGGTAGTTGTCATACAATCTACTCCGACAACGCCAAGACGTTTAAATGTACCGATAAAGAGCTTCAGAGATTATTTGATATTCTGGAAAATTCCGAATTCAAAAACGTTCTTGCTGCTAAAAGAATATCCTGGAAATTCATCGTCCAACTTGCCCCTTGGTGGGGAGGATTTTATGAAAGATTGGTAAAAAGTGTCAAAGAGCCTCTAAAGAAAATACTTTGAAAAGCTCTCTTAAATTTTGAAGAGATGACCACTATATTGACTGAAATCAAAACCATCGTTAATCTTCGACCCTTGTCCTACGTCACTAACGAAATTGGTGAACCAGAAATTCTTACCCATCACAATTTTTAACCCCTGGTAAAGAAAAGACAGAGTATCCAGCCCATTTCATAGAAACCATCCATAGAGAATCCACCAAAAAGATTCTTATAAAAAGAAAAGAATACCAAGCTACATTGTTGGCTAATTTATGGAAGCGCTGGAAGGAGCGCTATTTGTTTAATTTGAGATCTGCACACAACTTTACTTCTCCTAACCTAACAAAATGTTTGAAAGTGGGAGATGTGATTTTGATGGAGGGCACCACAAAATCAAAATTATTATGGGACATAGGTATTATAACAAAAGTATTTCAAGGGCGTGATGAACTTGTAAGATCTTGCCTTATTCGCAAATCCAACGGCGAATATAAACGCCCAGTACAACTTATTTATCCTTTAGAACTCAATGACTGAAATGAACAATGATAAGCTTTAATAGTTTATGTTTTTTTTTTTTTTATTTTCTTTCAAATGAACATTTGCATCTCATTTCAAATTTATTTGCATTTAAATGCTATTTTTCTAACATGTTTATGCTATTTTTGTCGAATTTTTATGTTTAAAATTTTAGTGAACTCAGAGGAGTTCAAGTGGGGAGTGTTGAGGATTTATAATACCAGATGGCGCTGAGCGCAAACAATTTTTTTATTATATTTTCTTCACTTCTTAAGTTTCAGTTTGGATTCAACTCACTGAACCACAATGAAATAAAATACTTTTAATCATTACAATTTGTGTAATTATTGTTGAATTCGAGTTAGATACTGAATAATAAAATCATGCACCCTTTATCTAAATGTATACTATTTCTATCCAATCTGAGATTGATTTTGATTAAGTAATTAAGGTGTAATTGAGCATATTACTTAATCTTAAAAATAAGTGGAATAAAATAATATTTTCTATGAACTTGAACACTATAAACAGTTTGAAGTTTTAAAAATCTGCACAATCTCTCAAAACCGTAAATTTAATTAGCAAAAATTTTACTAATAATTTACAAAGGATGTTCATATGATATAAGAACTAAAAGAGCACTGAAATAACCTGAGCAGATGGAGGCAACACATTTCCATTCTGCATACGCTACGTCATAACCAATCAGTGATAATTTTGGATTGCATTACCTACGGTGGCCTTTTTGGGCAATTGAAATTATTAATATTTTAATAAATACACATTTGGAGGGAAAAACAATCAGATTTTCAGATTTAAAAGAGAATTTTAAAAAATTAAGAGATGCTGCAATTGTCCATTATTAAAAAGACAAAAATTATTGAGAATTTCACAATGATTGAAAACACAATTAAGTGTAATTAATTGCAAATTAATTTGACTTAATCTTGATCATTGGGAAATGCTAATTAATTTTTGTCTTTTTAATAATTATCTTTACAATGGAAAACATTCAGTTTTTATTCAAATTGATGGAATACCACAAGGATCTAATTTTTCATCTCTCTTTGCTAACTTATTTTTACATTGATATGAAAAAAAATTATACTCTTAGGATTAATTTTTTTTTAGATTTATTGATGATTTAATTAACTTTAATTTTCAAGATTATAAAATTTTGTTAAATAATATTAACCCCGAGAAATTAATCTTGCTTCGTAATCATGATGATAATATTAATTTAAATTCTTGGATTTGGGTATTAAAAAAGAAAATATCTGCTTTGTTGATTTATACGATAAAAAATGATTTTAATATTAATATAAACAAACTTATTACTTGAAATTCTAATGTTTCTAAAAACGTTTATTTAAATACCATTTTTAGTTAAATGAATATATTAAAAGAATACAATTAAAACTATAGATAGTAATGTTTAATTATCCAAAAATAAATAGACAAACTCTTTAAAAATTTAATAAAAAACAATGGATACCCAACTAATGTAATTAAGTGCTATATAAAATCCTAGAGTTAATTGTATGTTATTATTAATAAATTTACTAAAAACTTCTTTGTTATATTTTTGTGTGTAAATATTATTCGGGAAGATCGTGGATAAAAATTTGTGCGAAATGGGCAAATCATGTTTCTGTCTGTTTTTTTTTTAATAAATGTCAATTTTCTAAAATCATTAAAATTGTTTAATTAAATATCAACTTTTTTAATTCTAAACTTAATGTATTTTTTATGTTATATAATGTATGTACAAAATTATGTATTTTTGTAGTATTTCGAATTTTACTCCTAGCTATCCATATTAGGTCATCTATAAATAAACAGGATTAAAAATTACAGGCATTTATCATACTATAAATGATGAATCATTCATTGAGAGAACAAAAAATAAACATAATGTAATAACAATAATAGATAAAAATAACCTATCAGCATAGATTCAATAGTTGTCGGATTCATTATGAAATATTCAGTGTCTTGTTCAATTTATGAATAATTATATATAACAGTAGTAGAAAATGAGAAAAAAAAATTTTGAAAAAGAAATTACTTCTTAAGCTTGGCCAGTTCTTCAGAAGTGTATTTTCCAACATGGTTTTTGTTATCATACATTCTGATCACCCTTCTATAGACGGAGAACAGAGGCCTATTTAAACCTTTGGCTACAGTTCGATAAAAATCTTTTCTTTCATCCTTGGACATCTCAAACACAATTGTAGCAGGATTTGTAATATCATGCTCCTAAAAAGAAATATTTCATGTTTACTAGAAACATTTCTGTTGTTTACTTTTTTTTAAATAGTGATTAAAAAATGTATAGACAAAAAATCAATGAAAACAATACTCTAATACAAAACATAAAATATTACCACAGAAATTATAGCCATTTTAAGGAGTAAAAGCCATCTCTTTGAATACGTAACTGATATAGAGAACAGCTGGGTTCAGTATGCTATACCAGAAAAATAACTTACAGGGTGAGCAACATAGTCAGATTTAGCAGACTAAGGTCCAGAGCATAAGAAGCAAAGTGACAATCGAGTCACCTAGAAACCACTTAACGTCAAAATGTGTTAGCAGATTTAACATGACTAATATAAAATGCATTCTCAATTAATAGTGCAGTACTGCTTATCAATAGTGTAAAAATATAGATCAAACAAACAATAAAAAAAAAGGTTTTCTTCTTCACCCCAACAGCGGTATTGGTTAGGAGGAGAGGAGGATGCAAACCAGTTTTAAGAACCTCTGCTGCAGTGCCCCTAAATGTTACTTTTTCTTTTATACACAAGGACCACACCTAAATTTAAGGGACTGGTTTACATTATATCAATGGAAGCTGGATTTCCTTTCCTATGTACAATCTTTAGGTCCAAGATCTTTCAAAGGCAATGACACTTACATTGACTGCAACACAATTCAATTCTTTCTGTGTCTGCTCCCAATGATAGAGATGAAAATGAGCAAAAAATATCAAAGGATATACCAACAACTGATTAAGAGTTTCAGATGACTCAGTCATGTATCAACAGATCATAATTTTGACTTGAACCAGTGAACAATCAATCTCCAATGCAGTACCCCCAGACGGATGGATGGGAACCTGGAGGACTTTGTGACCCGACAGATTTAACATATACAAGTCACTATTTACTACATGAAGGGTTTTCAGCCAGCTGGTTCGAACTCCCAATCTCACGGCGCCCAGCCAACAAGGCTGTCATGGCCATTATGTAAACTATTTTATTTAATTAACAACTGAAATAAATACACATGAAAACTTACCAAGTAAATAAGTTTTGAAGCAGCAAAATAGTAAAAAAAAAATTAAAGGAAAAAAAAGAATTTTTTATTTATTTATTAATTTTTTAGGAAAGAACAGCAATTTTAAGCCATGAAAGCTATTTTTAAGAAGAGCATCCATGCTGAAGTTAGGAACTCGAGGCTAGGGCAGTTTTTAACTAACTCATATTTTTTCTAATAATCATTTAATGAGATACTCTAAACATGAAAAAAGAACACTGATATACAATCACACTCAGTCCCATTTGGTTATTTATAAACAAAATAGAGTGTTAATATTCTGGAAATTGCTGGTTTCAGGTTGAACTAAGCTTCTTCACATAAAATAGAATGTTAATTATAGGGAAGTTAATTAAATATAAAGCTGTATCGAATATTGGAATTTTTTAAAGATAAATCTTTCTTGCACATGTCTTGTATTTAATCAAGATTTATTATTTGTTTATGTATTTTAGTGTAACAGGGATTTTTTTTTTGTACATAGTGACTTTGTTATATAATTAGTATATGTTCTACATGGCTTAGTGCCTGTTTTTTGTATTAAGTACTAACCAAACTAAAACAAATCATTCTTTGTGAAAGAATAAGAAATGTATCACTAAAGATAATTCATATTTGACAGTTAGACTTACTCAAAATAAATGGAAAGAACAGTTGCTAACATAAGCAAATGCCACGTTTCAACAGCTAATCAGAATCCATACTTATGATAATGTCGCAGACATCTAATTATATTTCTAACACAGTTTAGAAACAGACATCCAATTGGGGCTCTACCACAATTAGATGTCTGTTTCTAAGCTGTTAATTGATTAAAAATGCAAGGCAAAACTTAACTCATTAAAGCCCAAGTTAAACAGTTACAGTTTTATAAATTAATAGTAAAAATCATGAAGTCACCTAGAAGGTTAAGTTATGAAGTAACGATTGAAAGCAATTATTTATTAATTTTTTTAAATGGTAAAATCTAAAAATATGTGCACGATAGCCAAAAAAAGGTAAATAAATAAAACAAATATGTATTTAAACAATAAGGCAATTTTAAATTTAGATAGCCACCATCTTGTACAACAGTAGCTTCTCCCAAAGCTGGACAATTAACAAACCTAAAGAGTGTGTGAGTACCAATAGCAAGAGTCAATCATTAATGTCAAGTTGTTAATTACTTATTTACTGATAAACAAGCATTTATTTTACTTAAAGAGCTAAACTTTAATTTTCAATAACTGACCTGTATTACTTTTATTCTTATGAACATTGAAGTACAATATATGATAATTTTAAGAACTAAAGTTCAAATTTTTTTTTTTGACAGATACTTTTTTATATTATCATATATTCTTGAATGAAATTATCTAACATTTGACCAAATTATATTTATTATTATAATGTCAGTATTTTGGTCCTATGACTTAATAATAACAAAAAATTTGGAATTATATTGTTATCGTAATTTATAACAAATACATAATTGATAAAAATTGCTGTGACAATCTGGGTAAAGTATAGTGGGATAATTGACAAATTTAGAACTAAAGCTTTTAACAACTATGGCCTATCCCATCAAAAATCTTCAAACTTAAATGTATATATATATATATATAAATATATACATACAGGGTGTCTCAGTTAAGTGTTTCAGAACTTCTAAGAGTGGTAGGGGGCATCCTGACGACTCGAAATCATATAGCAATGCGGGGTCGGAAATGCTTTCCTGATGCGGTAGATGGCGTTGTTCGAAAGTTCCGACTGAGCTTTTGCAGTACGTTGGCTTCTCAGTCACCCGACCTATCATGTCTTGATTTTTATTTCTGGGGTCATATGAAAACACTAGTTTATGACACCCCTGTTGACAATGCTGAGGAGCTGGTTGCAAGAATCACAGTAGCTGCCGGAGAAATTCGAGATATGCCTGGAGTATTGTAGAAGCCTGGTGTATTGCAGAATGTTCGGATGTCCATGCACCGGAGATGTGAGGTGTGCATTGTAGCCGGTGGCAGAAACTTCGAACACTTACTTTGACCCATGTGCCTTATGCTTTTTTCAATGTATTATTAAAACGATTTTTCACTTACGGTCTCTTTTCTTTATGGTTATTATACGTCTGTGTACGTCACCGCTTCAGGAAAGCATTTCCGACCCCACATTGTTAAATTATTTCGAGTCGTCAGGATGCCCCCTACCCCTCTTAGAAGTTCTGAAACGCTTAACTGAGACACCCTGTATATATGCTTTTTTTTTCTCTGAATATTTAATTAATTCAGGTGGAAGTTGATGCCCAAGATATGCATACAAAACGAAAAAGTAAAAAATAAATTTTTTTATTCAATTTTTATGAAATAAATGACAAAAAAATTAAAAGAAAGATTAATTAGAATTTCATAGTTACATTATTAACATAGATTCTCAAAAAATTTTAATCTATCTATTGTAGAAAAAATAAGTAAATAAATAACTATTTTTTCATAAATTTCAAAAATTCTGGTTACTTGCAATAAAGTTATGGTAAAAATTGATACAATGAAATATAATTATAGATTATTTTAATATTAAACTAATTGTCAATAGCTGATATAAAAATTCTAAATACTTTTATAAGTTTCCTAAGTATTTAACAGTGAAAATACTTTCTTCCCCCTGTTTTGAAAAAAGTTTGTTTTACAATTATATAACTTACATCCTATAACTAATCCAAAAATTAGCTACTTGCTTTTATATAAGATAAGAACTCAAAGAAAACAAAGACAGAAATGAAAAAAGTAAAGGAAAAGAAGGGAGAGAAAAAAAAGAAAAATAAAAATTATAAAAATCCTTAAAAAAAATTAATTAATGTTAGAAAGTTTAACAATGAAAAGATATAATCTCATCGCGAAGTAACACGATTATCATTAAATAAGTACAAAAGTGAGGTAAACCAAAGAAAAAAAAGAGACCGATTTGTAAATAAAATTGACAGCATAGTTGAGTGCGTAGTGAAAAATGCTAAGCAAGTGTTATAATGAAAAAGTCATCTTTGAACTTACAAGAATTTTTATTTAGCAATTAAAATTATAACTAAACTTAGACATCACATAACTTTATAAGAGAAAACAAACGACAAGAGTATTCTACTTTCCATAACACGAGATTCATAAAAAATCTCCAAATCTAATCTTGATTTGTCTTATACAGGCACATTTAACATCCATTCAAAGAACAACATTTGCATAATGAGGGTAGAAAAGGTAACACACCAAAAATTAATAAGTAAATTTTGTCTTTAAAATATTTTTAAATGTTCAAACTCCCTCTTTCAGTGGTTTTTCGAACTTGTGATTTCTGACTCGCCATTCTTCTTATTCGAACCTTGTTCTCTGAAATTCATAGTCTGACAAAAATTTTAAGAAGTAAAAATATCACAAAAAATCACGAAAACTGCAAAATGAAACACAATAAATAGGAATGTATAAAGTGAGAAGGGAGAAAGAAGCCACGTACTACTTACAATTGATTTGCGACTTGCAAATATGATTTTAAAATATTTTTGGAACTAAGTTACCAGATCGCAAAATATAAAATTAGAGTGTAAAAAGAGGGTAGCGTGGGATATACTTTCAAGGCGTGCTCATACTGAAGTTAAGAGCCATATTTGATTTGTCAATTAGCTTGGATTTGGCCAGAAAACAAGTTTTGTACAAGGTAATACTTTATTTTGCTGGATAATTAAAAAAAAAAATTTCATTTGAGGGGGTGACCTCAAATATGCTAATTAATTAGTGCAGACGATATTTTAAATTACGAAATCAGACACAAAATTGGACTTTCTCTGGATAAGCATTTTTTTTTATTTTAATGAATTCAGATTTCTAACTCTCAAAACATATAGGGTAGCCGCAATCTGAAAAATATGGTCCGCATAGTTTGATCAGGAAAGCGGTCCAAAGTTTGGACCCCTTAATGTTAATTTTACTTTTCGTGTATTTCCCCACACCTCAAGAACTTTCAAAGTGAATTGAAACAGTTTTGCATTCAATTATAAAATTCGTTTATCCAAAGATAATTCCATGAAAAAAATTAATTTTAGTAAATATTTGTTACCGTATTTTCGCGGAGAAACGCCGACCTGGTATATACTCTGCGCCCTCAAAAATCGGCAGGAAAGATTTTCACCTAATACGCCGCACCATTGTACACGCCGCGCTGAATTTTTAACAATTAACGAATTTTGAACGTAACACAGGTATTGATTAAAGACTTAACACATGCTCTAAATACGTATATTTATATAATTTAAATAGTTAAGTAAAAACCAATAAAAGGGTATTGAATATACAAAAAAATAGAAACAATCCTAGTATTTAAAATAGATTTCAATAACTTTTTAAGTAAAATTAAGCATTTTCTAATTTTAATGTGAAGTAACCATTAAAATAATACATCAAAAACCATTAAAAGAAGTTTGAAAATTGTTAAAAATAAAATGATGATACTTTTAAATCAACAATCCAAAATCCTGTTTTAGATATAAACGATAAATCCAAACAAATTTTGTTCAAAGAAAAACTAAAGAATAATTCATTTAGATATCACCTATCACTATATATTCATATCACTGCACTTAAAAATCCCTCAAAATCAGAACTCTCTGTATCAAAGTAAATTAGGTTTACTAGTCCATTGTTCATTTCGGGTTAATCTCCGTCACTCACACTTTCAGCCTCACTTTCGGTTTCGTTTTGTCCCAGGATGATTTCCGTTTTTTTTAAAGCCATTTATCACAGTTTCTTTTTCTCTTTTAAATGCTGACAGCTTAAACGTAGCTGTATAAAATTTTCCTTTTGAAGGGAGGCATTTAAATTGGATAACTTAAATACAAGTTATGCTAAAACAAAACGAAAATAGTTTAAACGAAACAAAAATATTATTGAAAGAAAAACATTAATAAAACAAAAACGCATCAGAATTGAAGATAAAACGATTAAAAAAAAAATAAGCTGAGGAAGATGATCGAAATCAGACAGAAATATGAGCAATGAAAAAAAACTACAATAAAAAGCGCTCTCCCAAGCATTTAAGACAAGTTTCTATTTTTAGCAATTCCTCCCCCTATTTTTTCTTCTCAATTCATGTTTTTTTTTAAATGATCCCTCTGCCAGTTGAAAGGAAATTCTTCTGGAGCATTTTAATTGTAAGATTATTCAAGGTTATTCCAAGCTCATCAGCACCCTTTATTCATCAAACATTCACATGGTTTTTAACAAGCAGCTGAAGAAAAAAGGGGAGTGGAGAGAGGCTTTCATGACAAGTGGAAGAGACATATTTCCTGAAAAATGCAGGGGGAGCATTTGTTTTACAGTTTATGTTATCACTGGCCCCACCCTGATTTCCTTAATTCATTCCTTTCTGATTTATGCTTCTCCACTCCACGCCCATTTCCTACACTCAACAGCTGTCCATATGGCAGAAGGGAAAGAGAGACTTTGTTCTCTTGTGGATAGTGGTCTCCAGAAAGTGATTCCAAGAAAGGATTAGGGAGTGTAGGGAGGGGAAAATTCCAGGTGCACTGACCATTTTGTGGAGAAACATTAAGCATGAAAAAATAAATAAAAAGCACAGTAACAGGTGGAAAAATGATGATGAAATTTCCAGTGGGGTTTCTAAAAAGCAAAATTTGTTAAAGAAGAACAAAAAGTAATACTATATAGGCCGCATTGTTAGACACGCCTTCCTACTAAATTTTAAAGTTTTAAATCAATAACGCCGCGGCCTATCTCCGCGAAATTACGGTATTTTAATAAATATTAGTCGAAAAATTTTGAAGTGTAAGAAATACTTTTTTTAATATTATTTTAAAGTATGTAATTTTACATGGTAAGATAAAAATTTTGAGCAAAATCGGTTAAATAGTTCCTGAGAAATCGAATTTTAAATATACGGCTTTTTATTTACACCTTATCTTTAATGTGAAAATGTGAGAAAGTAGAGCAAAAGTTAATCTGAGTAAGTTGGAATGATATCTATTAGTGATCTTATATATGGAATAAAATCTCATTTTTAAATGGAAAATCTATTTGCAGATATGCAAAATATACATGTACGTATGAACTTGGTTACCGGAAAATTTGTCAAAATCAAGTTTAGTATTGCAAAGAAACTGTCAAGATTGCACAGGTTAATCTGGCAGAGATGGATGTGTTATTTTCTCTGCTTCCTGCAGACGCAATTTTCCTGTTATTATGTCATTGTATATTTGTTTAGAATTTGCATAGAAATGTTTGCATAGAAATATTTGTTTTTAAGCTTTTTCCTACCAGATATATTAACATCATTTAAAATCATACATTGCGATAGAATCAGACATCTCAATTTGTTTTTACACAATTTAAGATTGCGCACTGTGTTTCATATTTGCACGATTTTGTATCAAATTATTATATTCACATGATTTAAAAGCCAAATATTATGGTGATATATGTTCAAGTGACTTGAAAATTATACATTGGAATTTGCATTCACGCGATTTTAAAATCAAATATTGAGATTTGTATTGTGTATAATCTGACAACTTAAGTACACAAATTTTAAAAATCATTTTTGCAAGTTAGTTGTAGGAACAAGACATCCTTTTTCCTTTTTTGATGTTTCTATTAGTGTTTTATTTTTCCTGATATTTTACTTGATAAAATTTTGTTTATAAATCAGTCTCTCTCTCTTTCTTTTTTTTTTTGGTGCGCCTTACACTATAGCATTATAATATATTTATTTTGCTTTGGCTGAATTAATATAAGAAAGAAGTATTTTTGAGGGCATAATTGTATTAGTTCATAAAAATGTGATGGCTCAGATTTTTTTTTTTAATATTCCAAATTCGAAAAAATTTTTAAAATTTTTAATAATTAATTTTTCTATTATTCATTTATTTAGTCCTTTTCTTTATTTCTTTCCTTGTTCTCCTTTATTATGGGTTCTATGTACTTACAGCTTACGCATACTTAATAAAACTTATTAAATCTTGAATTCCTAATTTTCTTTGAAAGTTTCTCGATTACTTCATTTTTTATTGTCTCCTTTTTTATTGTTTTAAAAGTATTATTTATTTATTCAATTTCTGTTCATTGGTTCGGTATATAATTTAGTGAATATGTAGCCATATCTTTTTGCATAACAAAATGCTCAGGATATTTGAACAATTGCTCAATATCTATGCAAAATGGCAGAAAAATGATGACAAAACTAATTATGAAGATAAAAGAAATTATGTTACCTTACAATAGAGCTGTATATTGCTTTCTAGTAGTTCTATTTCTTCTTTAGACCACATTCCTTGCTTCCAAAGGTGACCTAAAAATAAATTAAATGAAAAATGGGTTGATTTAATTTTACGTCTACAAATAAAGAATATTTTTAAATGAACTCCTTAAATCATTCATTTTTGAAACTTTTCTTTCTTTTTTTAGCATTCTTTGTACAAAAGCTTATAAAATAACACCACATAAATTACCACAGTTAAATTTTGGGGTCACAAAAAAGTATATCTACAACATTAATAAATCAGCGCAATAGATAACCTAGAACAATGAATTACCAGAATTCCTAAAAATTTCCTTTTCCTAATCCTTTTTCCTAAAAATTTGGAATTCAAATTTCAGTTTTCAGTTAATATTTTCAGCTTCTTTACAGAATGTGTTCTCCGTATAAAATTTTTTTTAAACATCCTACAGCTTGAGAAAAGATGTTGACGGAATTATATTTTATCATAAATATTACATAATGAAAACTTCTTAAATTAAGGCAAATTTGATGACTCACCAAATAATATGTTTTAAATTAGATTCTATACTTGGTAGTTCAATTAAACTAAGAGAAATAAGCGAAAACAGAAAATTTTTAATAAAAATGTGGAGAAAATGTAAACAAAAAAACAAACATATAAGAAGACATTGTATCTTTCTTAACTGTGATATTTATTTATTTTAGTATTATAGTCTCTACTCCTACGAGCTTAAACTTATATTTTTATGATATACTTACAGCTAATGCATATTACAATGTATGGACAGCAGTGCATATTTTAACATATTAAATTATACCACTAGTCCACTCAGTGAAAAGACAGTACTGTATAGTGAAAATCAGTGCCACCTAATGCCTCCCAGTCCAAGTCATTGCAAAACTTAATTTCCTCATATTTTTACACAGAATAGTTTACATAGACTATTAATTATGAAATTCATAAAAAAATAAGCGCTCACAAAAATAAAATAATAGTTACTCTTTACTTTTCAAATCTTATTTTGAAAGAGGAATAAAACGCTTTATTCACTGATGAAAATATTCCTGACATTATATCTACTACCTACTAAGTTGCCTGATCCCCTAAGAAAACAGCCGTGTCATCTTCACTCCTTTATTTGCCTCTCACTGACTTCGGACTTTTTTTGTCCTTATTCCAGTAGTATGGAATATCCCCAGAAACACTTTTTTGTTCGATTTCAGGTCATAAATTGCTTCCAACTGAGAATTTCTAAGGCTTGCTCTAGAACTTACCATGTGATACTTTCCTCGCTAAAGTTTCCTGATTCAATATAAATTTTTTGTAGTTACACAATTTAGATATTTTTTTAAAAATTAATATACAATTGTGTTTTGTTTGGTTATTCTAATTTTTTAACTGAATTATTTGTTTTATCCCAATCAATTTTACTTTACTTAATCATTTTCCAAATAAAACATGTGTGAACTTTTATATCAAAACTTTCCTTGGGTATCAAAAAGACATATAAATTCTCTCTTTGGAAGTATATAATTTTTTTTAATTAAACCCACTTATGCTTGTGGTTAGAGAAAACATGGAATGTATGCCCAATTTTTCACAATGGCAGTTTTTAAAATAAAAGTTTTTTAACATAAAATTTCCATGGTCTTTCCTGGCTAAAAATTAGAGCTAGTGTGATTGTGCTTGTAGATTGTTAATAGACAGAAACAATATTTTAATATTTGATTCCGCTTGATACAAAATTGTAACTTGGTTTTTTTTATTAACAATATTAAAAAAAACTCATTGGGAAAGATCTGGGCTGTAGTGCTAAGAAGAAAAGAATAAAAAATAATATTCATACACATCTAATATTGGAACAATTTGCTTCTAAATGGGGGAAAGGTGCAGGAAAAATGCAAGCATTTTGTAGTGTTCAGTTGTTTTTCTATTTTTAACGTTGTTGTTTATCCAGTCATGATGGTTTATCTTTGGTAAAAACACCATAGTTAATAATTTATTCTTGCATAAAATATTGGAAATAAAAAGAAAGCAAGAACTTCTTGAATGTGAACTGTACCAAAATCATGAATATGTAAAAACCTTTTTATCAAATAATACCAACTTGTGAATTTTTATATATATATAAACAAAATCGAAGGTATAAATTTATAATTCTCAATATTTAGTTAAGAGATAAAGGTTAAATGAATTTCATATATTTGGTTTAAGTGTATTATAAAAATAATTTATCTGAAACATTGATATGTAAAATAAGTATAGTAGACCTCATGATCGTAGGAGACAAGAGAATGAGTACATAAGTCAATAGGATTTAGCATTAGAAAAACTCTTAAAATATACTCTGATGGACTTTGTTACCCTTATTGTGGAGAGTTGTCTTTTCTTCTCTGCTAGTAAACCAGCTTTGGTTTATTCCTTCTCTTGTGGCTAAACTGCTTGACTCTTGCAAACTCAGCAACTAAAATTTTACAAATAAATTTTGATTTAACATATGTTTGAAGATTATGTAAGTACATAACTTAAGACAAAAAAAAATACAAGAATTTCATCCTTTTTATAAACTCTCTTTTTCTTTTTGAATGTTTCTTAAGAATTTTGATGTATCCTTTTCTCTTAATCTATTAAAAATTACTATTGTCTACTGCATTCATATCAAAAATGTTTTTATTGGCTATTTTGATGAGGCAGATCATACTTAAAAACGTTACTATATAAATAAAGTCAATAGATCCCTTGACGACTTAAATTTTATTTTTGCAACAATAATTTATTTGAAAAAAGTAATATGATTCAGAAATGCAATATGAGATTTCCAATATATCCTACATAGTCAAGCCTATTTCAAAATCAACTTAGCAAATACATTTTATAAGCTGTTTTAGTAAAATGAAGGTTTAATGTGAAGTTGAGTAGACAAGGTATTCATTTCATATTCATCATCCAAATTTTATGTTTCTATCTTTAAACAGTCATGGTAGAAATCAGAGATGGGCATTAATTACAGATAACTACTGCAATTACTTGTAATCACAATTACAAGTAATCATGATCTCTGATTACATCCGAGTCAGGCAAAAACGTAACGGGTTACAGTAATCATGATTACAAACTTTGATAATAACTGTAATCGTGATTACAATAATCAATTTATTGTAATAGTGATTCTAAGTAATTGACTATTAAGGAATCAATTGAAATATCGAAATATATGATTACATGTAATTATGATAACAAGATATCTAAATATACATTTGCATGTTAAAATGATTGTATACCATGTATAAATGTTTATATTATACAGTACAGATAGTATAATATATTGTATAATGATACACATTGTAGGCATTTACATGATCTCTGTAATAATGTAGGTTTAAAATATATGTACGTTATGTATAAATCTAATATTTAATTACAAATGCATATGCAAACAATGTAGATATGTACGTTTTTACACAATGAATGTATATATAATTTATGCACATACTTGTGTATGTATTTAACAAGAGAAAATTGTATTTTCATATGTAAATTTTTTGCACATACAAATAATAAGCACATACATATTTACTGCTGGGAAGAAGAGGTAAGTTTTACTGGTTTGTGTGGAATATGTAGATAAGGTGATTGTTGAAAAGAAACTCACCCAGTTCTAATCCGTAGTCGACATCCTAGGTCCCCCTCTTCTGTTAAAACTGTTTCTTTGGAAATGAAGACAAATTTCCACAATTTCAAAAGGAAATATATTTATTTGTAAATCAGTAGCAGATATCCATCTGGACCTGAATGCTTGGCGACAATACTTTTTTAGCTTTCTAAGCAACGAGCCAAATATCTTCTACGCCCATATTCTCTTAAAATGCAATGCTTTCTTTACATTTTATTCTTAAAGTGGAATTAGGAAGTTTTACAAATTTAAATTTCAAATCTTAGAAACTATAAAAAGTGATGAAACAAAGCAAAGCTGGAAAATTAAATATATATTCGAAGCACACACAGGTGAATTAGCAGAAAAAGCAACTTCCTTCCTTGAATGTACAGAGAATACTAGTCCAAGTGAAAGGCATCCCTTTTTCAGTGTATATCGGTTATGGATATCCCCAAAATTACAACCTGAGGCACTAGACACCCAGGAAAACAGCAAAGGCCTCGGACCAGTTAGTATTTATGCACACAACATTGTAATGATCACATCACACTTACATACTGTATTTATAAATGGTATATATACAATATATGCACATCCAAAGTATGCATGTACATTTGTATGTATGTTTAATAGCATCTGCATATCCATAATATATGTGTACAATGGTTAACCCATTGGACATACATATGTACACACATACATTCAACATGCATATAGTGCACATATGTAGAGTGCAAAAAAAATAAACTGGCCACCCTAAAAAACTTTTGATCTAACGATGGAATCGTCCAGTTCCAGGATTTGGTTTTAATTGTTTGAGGGGGTTACTTCAAATATGCTAATTAATTAGCGTAGACAATATTATAAGTCAGTCACAATCATATATTTTCTCTGATCTTTTGTTCTGGCAGATTCGGATTTTTGATCCTCAAAATATAGGGGGTAGCCACAATCAGGGAAATATAGTCTCTATACTTTGGCTAGGAGAAAGGTCCAAAGTTTGGCCCCTTTAATAATAAATTAACTTTTTGGATATTTTGCTATATTTTGGCAGCTTTTTGAGCCAATTAAAATTTTTTTTGACATACAATTCCTTAACCCAAAGACAATATCATGTAAAAAAAAATTTTTAGTAAGCATTTTTTTATTTAATAGAAGTCGAAAAATTTTTGAATTGTAAGGTGCACAATTTTTCACATCATTTTAAAGAGTGTATATCACATGGCAAAATATAAAATTTGAATGAAGTTGGACGCATGGTTCTTGAGAAATCCAATTTCAGAAATACTACTTCTTTAGAATTCGATTTCTCAGGAACTATACGACTGATTTCACTTTAAATTCTGTATTTGGTCATATAAAATTGCACTCATGTAAAAAATTTAATTATTTAATAAAATAATAAAAAACAATAAATATATCCTAAAAGCTATTCTTTTCATAGAATTTTCCTAGGAAAAACGAATTTTACAATTGTCTGCAAAAGCTTTTCAATCAGCTCAAAAAGTTCTTCAGATATATGTAATATACAGAAATGGGTTAAAACTTTAGAACACTCTCATGAGCAAACTATGGAAACCATATTTCCCAGATTGAAGCTATCCCCTACATTTTGTGGGTCAGAATTCCAAATCCATCATAAAAAGGTAAGTTTATTCAGGAAAAATACAATTTTGTGTCTGATGCAGTATCTGATTGGATAATGTTGTCTGCACTAATTAAGTGGCATATTAAAGGCCAACTCCTTTGAATCACAAAAATTGAGTACCAGAATGCTAAAATTCGATCATTAGATCATAAGTTATTTAGGGTGATCAGTTTTTTATGTACATATGTATTAATGCATTTCACTGTACATATGTATTAATAAAGTATACACAAATACATATTAAAGTATACATATATGCACAGCATATATGCGTTAATTAAAAAATATTTATTTACTTTGTTAAAAAATAGTACTTATTTGAAATTCAATTTCTCAGGAACTATTTAACTGATTTTACTCCAACTTTGTGTTTGGACATGTAAAATTACAATCTTTAAAATAATGCAAAAAATTGTATGTATTACAATTCAAAGATTTTTCGATCATTATTAAATAAAATAATGAAACATAATAAATATTGAATAAAAATTATTTTTTGCATGGAAATTATCTTTGGATAAACAAATTTTATAATTGTGTGCAAAAATGTTTGAATTTGCGTAAAAAGTTCGAGAGATATGGCCGAATACACATAAAGTAAAATTAACATTAGGGGGTCCAAACTTTGGACCAAAATATTGGGACCATATTTTCTAGATTGTTGCTACCCCTATATTTTGAGGGTAAGAAGTGTAAATCCGTCGGGAGAAAAAACGAATATTTAATTAGAAAAAGTAGATTTTCATGTCGAATTTTGTAACTTAAAATATCGCAATAATTAATTAGTATATTTGAGGTCACCTTCTTGAGTCCTAGAATGTGAAAATCCGATCATAAGTTCAAAAGTTTTTCAGGGTGGTCCATTTATTGTGCACTGTACAGATATACAACTATTGTATGAGCCCAAAACAGTGGTTGGAAAAACTACAATATTTTTGTAGTTTACTAGAACTACAACTACTTTTTTACAAATGCAGATAATTACAACTACTTTTTTTTTAAGTATAGTAACTAAAAACTATTTTGGAATTGTAGTGACTACTTCACTACTTCAAGGAACTGAACTTTGCCGGAGAAATTAATTTACACATTATGTTCAAAATGGTTTTGAATAAAACATTGGCTTAGATTAAACATGAAGAATTATTTAGAAATATTTATTCATGTTTACATGAGCCAGTTTGATTATCTAAAACACTTCTTTAGAATTTGTTCATTTAGTCTTCAAATTTTTATGCCCTTCTTGACAGAGAATAATTAATTTAAGGGATGCTAGGAAATTACCAAATACTTGTCAAGTGCTCTTTTATTTCCTCTAAGAAATTAAGCACATCAAAAATATGTTTCTTTCCTTTGAAATATCATCGTTTTATGAACCTACAGTCACATGTGAAAGAGTGAAAAAATAGATAAATTATCTATATATATTCATAATGGCTAGCTCAAATATTAGTTACACGTAACTCTAAGTACACTATTCTTGTTAACTCACATAGGCATTTAAAATTGCATTATTTGCGAGACCCGTAAAGAATTGTACTCATCAAATTCGAAAAATTAGTTGCGTTAGAACCCTGTTCTATACTAAACTAACATAAAAAGTAGTTGGCAGGAATCGCTACAAACTACTTTTTTTAGTATCACACTACTCACTACACTACCTTTTTTAAAAAAGTAGCACACTACCCTACGAAAAAAGTTGTGACTATGGTAGTTCCCTTACTTGTAGTACGCTACTTCCGACCACTGACCCAAAATATATCTATGAATGTACAGTGCTCCAAAATAAAAACATTTAATAACTTTTAATCTAATTCAATAGCTAGGCCTCATTCTTGATGGTTTGAGGAGGTGACTTCAAATATGCTAATTAATCAGTGAAGACTAAATTTTAAGTTATGAAATCAGGCACAAAAACGTACTTTCTCTGAATAAGCATACTTTTTTTTTCTCCAGCGGATTCAGATTTCTGATCACTAAAATATAGGGGGTAACTGCAATCTGGAAATTATGGTCCCTATAATTTGGTCAAGAGAGTGGTTCAAAGTTTTTATCCCTTCACGTTAGTTTTACTTTTTGTGCTTTTGCCGCATACTGAGAAATTTTCAAGAGACTTGAAAAATGTTTGCACTCAGATTTAAAATTCATTTAACCAATGACCCTGGAAAAAAAATTTTTTAAATAAATATTTAGAATTTTTTATTATTTTAATTAATACTAATCCACAAAATTTTAAAATATCAAAAGTTTGGAAAAAACCTCGAAATATGGCAAAATACACAAAAAATAAAATTAACATTAAGGGCCTTCTGACCAAGTTATTGGGACCATATTTCCCAGTTTGCGGCTACACCCTATATTTCTGAAGCCAAAAATCCGAATCTGTCAAAAAAAGATGTGTATTTAGAGAAAGTACCTTTTTGTTTCTGATTTGATAACTTAAAATATGATCTGTACAAATTAGCATATTTGATGTCACTCCCTTGAAGAATGACTCCAAGAACCTGAAAATCTGATCATTTAATCAAAAGTTATTTAGGGTGGACCATTTTTTATTTTGTGCACTGTACACACATTTACTATATATATATATGTATACATATAAATGCATTGCAAACATAAGCAAATTTTATTACTTACATAAAAATATGTAAGCACATACTTTCATACTGCATTTACTTAAAGTATGCAATCGTTATTACATGTAATCATACATTTTGATTGCAAGTAATCACAACTGATTGTTGTCTACCAATACCCATCAACTAATAGGAAGACAGGTGGGTGAGGCTAAACAAACAAAAAAGCTCATAAGGGATATGAAAAAAAGTATTTTTGTTTCTTCTCTTGCTGATGAAGGTTCATCACGGCCGGTTGTGGTAAAGGAGGAAAAGTATTTGGAAAGGAAGGAGCCAAGCGTCATTGTAAAGTTTTGCGTGATAATATCCAAGATATCATGAAACCTGCCATGGGTACAATAGACCTCTGGTCGATGTGTCCTGCTCGTCAAAGCTGCCCAACCTCTAAGTCTATATGAAACCTGCCCTCAGGTGTTCAGCTTGATAAGGTGGTGTCAAACAAATTTCTGGTCTCATCTACGAAGAAAATAGAGATGTTCTCAAAATTTTCCTTGAGAAGCTTATCCGTGATGCTGTCACTGAGCACGCAAAGAGGAAAACTATGACAGCAATGGACATAGCGTACGCTCTGAATCGTCAGGGACGTACTTTGTACGGTTTTGGAGATTAATTTGGCCCCCTACCCATTTCAAGCAACTTTTTCTATGTGTTTCAGTTTAAAAAAAGTAATTGATTTAATAATAATTTAGTAATGTAATCACAATTACAGCTGTAATCAAAATGATGTCATGTTCTAATCATGATTAGAAGTGATTTGATTACTGTAATTCAAAAATGTAATCCATTAAAGTTTTGCTCAACTTTGGTAAGAATGTCATGTAATTTTGATCCTGGTCAAATGACATGGATAGCACCTGAATTGGTACCCCTTTCTTCAAACCTCCACACCACAGCCAATGAAAGGACTTTCAGGCACGACAGATTCAACATACACCTTGCTGCGTATACATGCCGGTTGTATAGTCGGCAACCAGGAACAAACTCACTACCCCAGCGTTTCAACCAGTGGTGTGAGCAACGCCGTCACTAACAGTGCCACTAAGAATTGCGCACGACCTTTCAACTTTAAGTGAGTACTACAGAAATTTTCTTGAATAGAAAAAAAATTCTTGAAAACACAATGCATTAAAATGGGAATCCCAAATTTTCTATTTTATTTCCCTCACTGAATATCCCATATTAACTCCGCTTCATTAAGAGGGGGGGAAATAGCCTCAAACTAGATCAATTTTCTAATAAAAAAGTTCATTAAAACCTATATAACTTTACCTGGGAGGGATCTAAAGTTGGAAAACCTTTAGGAGGAACTTCTACAATACTAGAGAAACCTTCAAGTCCATCTACAAGTAAACCAACATTAATATACATAGAGATGAGCATTCTTTAGATACATGTATATTTTTAGAGTCTATTTAAAAATCAAAAACTATGCAGATCCTAAATTAATATGTAAATAAATAAGGCTGATCAGAGTATCGGAGTGACAAAGACAGGATAATAGTGGCATAAGCAAAACATATGTCCTACTGTAATCTTGGAAGTATAGTAGTCTTAGAATTCTAGGAGACTCTACCTCAGTGATATTAGAAATTTTTTAATAACTTTAAAAATTTCAAAGCTGTTTAAAGTAAGAAAGAAGGTAATCACTATATTTCTTGAAACTCCACACAGAAAATATTCAAATAAATTAAAATTTTTGACTTAAAAAATACGATTTATTTAAATATTTTAATATGATAAATTAAACAGGGTTTTTGAACAGAAAATAAGTAAAGGTTGGAGGATAATTTCGGATTTGAAAGGGAAAAAAAAGAAATTATTTCAATATTGGAGAAAATCTGGAACGCTAACTGATTCATTTCATTTTGTCTTGATGGGGGGGATAGAGTGGCATAGCCAGGCTTTCATTTTTTTTTTGGGGNGGGGGAAGGTCTGAAGGAATTTTAGCATTTAATTTTTTTTGTTATATTTTAATTGTTAAAATTTCTTAACTCATTTTGGGATTGGATTTTAGACCACATGGGCTCCCCTCGGCTAAACTGCTTGAAGGATCTTTAAAAACTGCACAAACTTGAGGAGAAACAACTAAAGGCATTCCAGATCCACTTTACAACTAAACTTAACTGGTTATTGATTATATTAATTCCTATTTTGGTCTTTAGCATCAATAGTTATTAAATAGAAAGCATTTCAGTTTTTACTAACTTAAATATTACCTAGTGGTCAATACTACTCCGAAGATTTATATTTTCAATTTTTTACTTTCATAATTTTTATTTATTTTTACAAAAAAAAATTATGCAATAAGAGTGGCAGCCTTGTATATATGCTACAGAGGAAAAGTTAAAGAAAACCAATAGTTTTACAGTTTATAGCAAAGAAAGTTAAAAACAAGGATTGTTACAAAATAATTTTTCTTAAAATTTAATTCACGTACATAAGAAATTTGTCAATAAAGAAATAATTGATTACGAAATATTTTTATTCATTATTCCTAATAAAATGCAATAAAATCTACAAATACTATTTTAAACCTATGTCACTAATTTTAAACAATGAAAAATGTACATATTTTAAAAGGATTAAAATTATGTTTTTATACAGATTTAAATAAAATAGAAAAAAAAACTTGAGAAGAGCAAGCAGTTGTTAAATAAATCACAAAGTTTCAGAGGGGTCTTTAAAAATCCATGTTAATCCATTATTTAAACACTTTTTTAAAACTTTATACTATGTAAAAATAACATTCGCATGCATGTTAAAACACAAAAATCCATTCATGCGAAAAAAGATTACATTTCATTCTTAGTTATCATTTGTAGTTTTAAATCCAAGCTACATTATTTTCAGAAGTATTTTTCATTTTTGTCCGAAAATCCCCCCACCCCCCAATTATATAATTATTTTATAAATATGAGTTAAAATTATCATATTTTGCTTAGTTCCAACTTTTGTTCCAACCCTTAACAATCGGTTAACTTTCAAGAAAGTGGTCATAAAAGTGTCTATTTTTTTTATCCCTGAAAATTATATAAAATTATGTGTATGAACAATATATGTATTCATTTTCAATTTTCGATTTGTTTTTAGCTTGAAATTTTAAAAAATTAAATTTTCAGGAAAAGCCAACATTTAGGGTTACTATGACTTAATGTTGGTTTTCCAGCAAGCAAGGAAAATTTAAAAAATATGTGTTTTAAATAATAAAAAATAATTTTATCAAACTTATGTATAATATAAATAAAGATTAGTAATTTTTTCTTGTGTGATAAATTTCAAAGCATGAGATACAGAGGCCAACATCACAATCTGGACAGTAGTACAGAGTTTCCTTCTTACATCTCTTATTGTTTTCATCCCTTCTGACGCAACAAATTTTCCAAACTATCTACAATTACCTTAAAAATATCCTGGTATTGCCATTTGGTGTGTAAAATGAGAAATAATTTTTTTTCTGGGCAAAAGAAATTAATTAGTTTTATTCTTATTGGCGTATTACTACTGAACATTCTAGCCAGGAAATATCACGGGAATGAGAAATAGAGTGCGAAACCTCACTCCGTCATTTTCAAGGGAGCGAAAAGGGAGGGGTTAAAAAAAAATCCATAAAGAAAAACCTTACACAGAACAGAAACGCGCTAGTATACTGAAAAAAAAGGTAATTAGAAAAAGAATGAAAACAATTTTCATATGAATATTATATGCAAAACAAAAACAGATTAACGTTAATGAATCAACAATCAAGAATAAGATTGTAAATTATAAGGTAACAAGGTTTAAGAAGCTAGGGACAACCAAATTTTAAAATAAAGTATTTAAATTCTCTAAAAACACAAACAGGTATAGTAATCATTTTATTTAATCTCATATTATTTAAAATTATCATATATCATATATGAATTCACTAATTGGATTAAAAAACTAAATGATTCACTAAGGATTAAAAAACAGATTAATGTTTCAATAATTCTTTCAAAAAAAAAAAAAATTAGATTTGTAGAAAATTTATGAAGCAGTGTCTATTACCTTGTAATGCTAAAATAAAAGTTTGCCCATCTTGTTCAATGCAAATACGTTTGGCAAGACCTTCACTTCCGTCTGATGGATGATTGAAGGCAGCTGCATTGATGGGAAGTTTGTGTTCATTTAGGAAACCAGCTCCTACAATAACAAATTTACATTGATTGATTTATTTGATGAGAGTAATATGAAAACAAAATGATAAGTTTTCTAATTCTTAATCATTTGATCAGTTTCATATTCATTCCACAAAACTAAAAAGGTTAATAAATTTTTTGTATTATACATATGGCAAAATGTAGTTTCATCAACTGCTGGCATTGCTTTAACAAAAAGCCTATAATCTACTTAAGTGGCACTTTTGTTATAATTTATTTTACAAAAATGCTAAAACGTTTTTTATATGAATCTACATAAATTTTGCGGCACATTTTAAATTATCCTATTTATTTATTTTTAGAGTTTAATTCATACGGTGAACCTTTAAAAATAGGTATTGTTACATGGTTTACCATGTCACAATACCTGTTTCAACAACTTTTAAAACATTTTATTCAGAATATAAATAGGCAACTTTTATTGCTCCAGATTTCAGACTTAATTTATAATGAATAATAAATATTTAATTAACAAAATAAAATCATAATTACATGCATCACATAGAAACAGTAACTCTCAGTAACAGCATAGATTAAAAAGAGAAAATGGTTTGCTTGACTGTGATATTTAAATTTTAAAAAAATTACCCAATACAAGTGTATAATAATTTGGAAAGACTGACTACAAGAATGAAGATAAGGGTTATAAAAATTAAGAATGTTGTGACTTTTGGGAGATCATAAGTTTTTATTAGTCTATTGAATTATTGGGTAAATTTCTGAGCTGCACAAGATGCGTAGGATTTTTAATTTCTTGCCCTGCTTTCGAAATTTTGGACATTTGATGGCCTACAGAACGTCAATGATTATCCTAAACTTATTTCAAGATATAACAATTTAAATCAAAGATGCACAACCTGTAGCCCTCCACCTGTTAATGTAGAGCATCTTTAAAAAATCATTATTAACATTAATTACATATATATATATATACATTTTGAAATAAATAAATAAATAAAAAGTAAATTTTGAGTCACACATTTTAGTCATCACCTTATGACGCACACTCTATCATAAATCAATATGGTTTGACGGTGGTTGTCGCACCATATGGTTTAAAAAATTTCATAATTTTTAATATAATATTAAGTTAATCGACTTTGAGCAAACACTTTTGGCACTCTTTTTTTGTGCAGGTTTCATCCTAAGTCCAAAAAAATTTTCAATCATTTTTTGACACTTATTGCCAAGCATTTTCACAGGGCTTTGAGAGACACAATATTTTTTAATACACTATTGTTACAACACTCGAATCTGAAATTAAGCATGCAAATAATCCCTTTTTGGTGGGTTTTCCTCTTGCTACTTTTAATATAAATAAATTAATCTTCTGATCATTTCTTTTTCAACAGTTAATGCTATGCATTTCCACATGGTATTGAAAATCGATATTGCAAAGAATTGCAATTAAACTATCATTTTTTGATGCACTTCATATGTGATGATTTCATCATACATAAAAATAATTTTTTATTCCCTTGCCTGCAGTTATTGCTACGAATTGATATGTACATGGTTTTAGAAATCACAGTATTTTTAATAGGATATTATTATCTTTTATTACTTTTTTTATGTTCATATTTGTGTCTACTTCATCACAAATTCAAGTAATCTTTTAAAGGGATTTTTGGTACTAATTGCAAAATATTACCACTGATTGTAAATTGATATTTTAAATATTATATTATTATGACAATCAAGTTGCTTATTTAAATTATAATTTTTGACACACTTTATTAGTGTTAATTTTATTGTTAATACAGTCAAACCCCGCTATAGTGAACACTTGGTGGTAGTGAACTGATTTAGTGGTCCCGTCCGTACTCCTACTTAAATAATGTTCTTTTTAACGCTTATATTAAACAGCTGAGAACTTGGAAAATCGGTTATCGTGGATTCATATTTCATTTCTCTAAATATCTTTTTCAGTCCTCCATCTTTAAACTCGCAGGTGTTCGGACTGAAAATGAATGCATTCCTATACAATGTGTCTTATTGTTATGCTTATCACTTTTAACTATACTGTAATAAATGCTAAACAGAGCATTTATTTTATACTCCCCCCTCCCTAACAAGCCTCTCTAAGTCCCTTTTCTCCAAGCTTGCTTTACAGCTAGTTAACTTGGTCACCTGCTGAATTTTTGGAGTTCTTTTATCAGCTCAAACCATATTCTTTACAAATCACCCCTTGACAATCAAGACGGGGAACAATTTAACTCGTTCTACATCCGCTTTCTTTATATTCTTACATTATCTATTTGAGACAAGATTTTTATTTGAAAAGCAGTGAAAATGCAAATTCTCTTAAGAGAAAAGCGTTTTCAAAAGAGGACAAAGTTAAAATTGTAAAACGTATTGAAGATGGAATCAATCAATCGGCACTGAGTAAGGACTTTTCTTTGTCAAAATCTAGTTTCAAACATTTGGATAAATTGAAGTGCAATTTTTGCCGCATATGGCAAAAATATGGTTTCGTCAAAAAAAACTGTGTAGAGCTGAAAGAGAAAACGTAGAAGAAGCTTTGTTGAAAATATTCACTACTTAGCGAGATAGAAATCTTCCTGTGACCGGACCTATGCTTAAAATTAAAGAGCACGAGTTTGCTGAAAAATTAGAGGAAAAAGATTTCCTGTGCTCCAATGGATGGCTGGATAGATGAAAAAAACGGAACAATATTTCTTCAGGAGAGATTATTGGAGAAGAAGCGAGTGTTGATGCAACGGATATGGAAAACTGAAGTGTTGCCAAATATTATACAGAATTATGAAGAGAAAGAAATTTTTAATGCTTACAAAGCTGGACTATTTTATAACTTGATTCCCAATCAGACGTTAAAATTTAAAGAAGAAAAATGCACTAATGGGAAACTCTCCAAAATGATAATAACAGTTCTTGTTTTTTGTGAACATGAACGGCTTGGAAAAGCGAAAACTATCTGTCATAGGTAAATCTAAAAAACCGAGGTATTTTAAAAATTTTAAAAAACTGCCCGCTAACTACAAAGTCAATCAAAAAGTGGGGATGACCTCAAATTTTTTTGAAGAACTTCGACATTTAGAAAGTCTAAAGTGTATTAAGCTCGCATTTTTATCACTACGACTTCTGTGTTGCAATCAACGGACCAGGGTGTTATTCACAGTCTGAAGTCTCACTATAGGAGACAATTAATTACGCATATTTCGAATAACTCTGAAAAAACAACAACATGGACTCAGAATGCAACACCTCTCTTCTAGAAGCAATAGTTTTGCTAGAAAAATCATGGAGGCAATAGACATCAGCTACACTCTGCAACTGTATCCGACATGCAGGTTTTTCAAAGAATTTAGAAGAAAAAGATTCCAATGTGGAGGAAGAAGATGAAGAAAATTTACCTATTTCTCTATGGCTAAAAAAACATGAAATTGACATTTTTCTTAGAGAGGTTATTAAGCAATTTGCACTTCTGGTACTCCTGCCCATGATGAATTGTCAGTGAAATAAAACAAACAAAAAAAGGTAGAGAAGACTTATTACAAGCAAATGTTGAAGAAAATGGACTTTCAGCACCATCTATAGCTGAAATAAATTCGGCCATAAATGTCATTATTATATTTTTTTTCTATAGAAAATGTAGATAAAAAAAGCTTGCATTCTTTGCACATGGTAGATAAGAAAATTGATGAACTCTATATAAAATCAAATTGTGTTTAATCAAAAATCAAATTCTTTTTTCATAAAAAGTGGACTTAAAACTAATTTTTAGCTACATAAGGACATTTTTTTATTAATTTTTGCTTTATTATCAGTTAATTAGTTAATAATTTATTAAATAACTTATGTAAAATTGCAAACCCAATTTTCAATCATTCAACTGTCTTATGTAAAAAATATTCTTAAAAAAATTTGGATAAATAAACCATCGTTTATAGTGGACACATTACTGAGTCCGCAGATAGTTCACTATAGCGGGGTTCAACTGTATAAATGATTTATTGATACTTTTTTAGTATTTACCATCATGCATTTCTTGGTGGTATTTAAAAGGCTGATATTTTCATACAATATTATTACAACATGCTGAATTCTAAAATTGGAGCCTTGACAAAAGTCTTGCCAACTCTGTGTGCAAGTGGCCCTTCACTGAAAAAGGCTGTGCACCTTTAATTTTAAATTATTACAGATTCGTAATAAACAAAGCAAGATTTATTTAAAATGGAATAGTCTTATTGCACCATTATTATACAGTCTTCGCTCAAATCAAAAATATGAACAAGATTTTTTTTAAAAATCAGGACATTTTTTGGTGAAATACATACATATTATACTATTTTTAAGAAGAGGAAACCAAGAGAAAAAAATATAGTGTAATCTTCTGATTTGAAAATTTCATTTTGGGTGGTATATTTTCCAATTCTCCAATATATATATACATATATACTACTGTCGACTAAAATTGCTACACCAAGAAGGAATGCAAATAACAAAACGCTATTTGTTGGGCACGTACATTATAAATGGAAGAGCAAGTGATTAAATTTTCAGGATATTTGGATGTATAGATCTTGAGGAATCAGTACTCAGAGCAGCCTCGCCTGGCAGCAATAACAGCAGTTATTCTCCTAGGCATCGAGTTAAACAGAGATTGGGTAGCATGGGCAGGTACAGCATTCCATGCAGCTTCAACATTATGCCACGATTCATCCACTGTAGTGACTGATGAGCGGTGGAGTGGCAGTCATTCGGCAACCATTGACCAGACGTTTTGAATTGGTGAGAGATCAGAATAATGTGCTGGCCAGAGCAACAGCTAACATGTTCAGTGTCAAGGAAGGTCAGGTCAGTGCAGGCAACATGTGGTCGTGCATTGTCCTGCTGAAATGTAGCATTATGGTGCCCTCAAAGATAAGGCAGAGCAACTGCCCCTAACACATCAGAAATGTAACAGCTGTTGTTCAAAGTTCCGGCTATGCAAACAAGAGGTGATTGAGATGTGTATCCAATGGCACCCTATACTATTACTCCAGGTGATGGGCCAGTATGATGATGTCGAATGCAAGCTGCCAATGGGCTTTCTCCATGATGTCGCCAAACATGGATGCCATCATGCCACTCCTGTGTCCAGGTTCGTCGTTGATCACACCATTGGAGGCGCTCTTGCCTGTGATGCAGCGTCAAAGGTAGCCGAAGTTGGGTCGACATGCTGAAACTTGCTGTCCTGCAAATGACCCCATTTGTTGACTCAAGGTTTGTGACGTAACTGTAAAATCCCTTAAGGACATGTGGATAACATGTCGGTCTTCTCCGCTGATGATGGGAGGCCGCTGAGAACCTGCACGGCGTTCCATATGATCGACATAAACCTATCAATTCCATATTCTGTTAACAGTCATGGGATCTGGACCAACGCGAGCAGCAATACTTCGGTATGATAAACCGCAATCCCGGTAGGCCACAATTCAATCTAGATCAAACTCAGACATGTGCTGGTTATCATTTCCAATTCTTACATGAGGCATAACAAAAACAATTTTACCCAAGAACAACGCTTAAATTCAATTTCTGTATGAGAAACTTACTGTCAAATCTCTTCTTTTATACACATTGTAGGTGTCACTACCTCCACCTGCTTGGCATGAATGCACTGATAAGCTCATCAATTGCATATCATAACATGCTTTAACCATCCTGTAAATTTCAGGTACGTGGCGTGTCGCCTTCCTGGTGTAGCGATTTTAATGCCCAGTAGTATACATATGTATATATGTAAATGGGCAACGATGAAAGTTCTCAAATAAATTTAGATAAGAGCAAGTTGATCAAAAATGACTTTTAAAAAAATGATCGTGAATGCTTATGTAAGTTAACAAGTGATTTGATAAATGTAAGGTAACAAATAATATGATTTTTCTACACTTTGGAAATAGATTCTTCAATGTAAATATGGATCAAAATAAGTTAAAAAGAAAAATGATAATTAGAGTTATTTTTTATACAACCATAAATTACTTCAATTATATATAATCTACATACTCAAGAACAAATGCATACCAAAATAAACAAATGATATGAAAACTTAATGCTATATAAATCGTAACTTGGATACAAGGACAATTAAAATTAAAAAAAACCTGAGAAATTAAGCAACTACCTACTTTGAAAGTTCTTTCTTTATTGCAATAGTGAAATGAAATGTATAAGAAATGCAAAATGCTTTCACTGCAATTAGATGGATAAGAGAAAAACCTTACTACTCAATGTTAATAAGTTTATCTTTAACATCATTTTCTAATTAGCGATCATGCCATATTAAGAAAAACAATTCTGACAGAAAAAATGCTGAGTTTCTTCTTCATAAGATAACAAAAAGACTGAAATAAAATAAGTCTGAACCAGAAGTGGACGATCTCTAAATTTGAACTATCACATAATTGTTACTTTTAAGAAGTTTCAAGTTATCAATATGAAATAAAATAAAAAGATGATACGAGCATTCCAAGTAATCAAGTTGTTAGTAATTCTAGTTCAAAATTTTTTTCTGATACTTCTTTTCTTGAATTCTGTTGATTTTGAAGGTCAGTGTGGGTCTTCTACTTAGGTACCTTATAACTGCCCCCCCCCAAAAAAAAAGCACTATCTTTTCCATGAGCAGTATCTCCGTTGTCTACACTCTATTCTTTTCTTTCGGAATGCTACACTCTCCTAATAGACTTTCAGTCTAGGCAAAAGGCAGAATATTATTAGTAAAAGGACATGCTTTCTTTCCCTTGCCCCCTTACACACATCCCTTCCTGTCTCTCTAAAAAGCTCAACCCTAGATGCATAGTCCAACTCTAGATGATAAAAGAACGACTTTTTGTTTTAAAAAATCAAACTGAAATTTTTTTCTTGTTAACTATAGTGGTACTAAAAAATGAAAGATTTTTAAAGACCTTGCACCAAAATTAAGTTCTTTTATGGGCCCTTATGTTCTAAAATAAAAATTAAGCAGTTTTTAAGGACTTTTAAGAACTGTGGTAATAAAAATAGTTTCAATTGTATTGGAAATTAGTATCTCAAACTTTTATTAAAATACCTTAGAACATTATTTGTAATTTCTAATACATGCTTTTAAATAGCTTCATTAAAAAAAAATTAAGCACATAAGTAATGGAAATATTTCAATGTATGCTGTAAGTATTTATTCTATTATAAACTTAATATCTAGAGTTGATTTGTAAATAAAAAAATGCAATTACGAAGAAACCCATTTAGGCTTTTTTTTTCTGGTTGGAAAAAAATCATAACAGCTCTCACATACAGGCAAAGTTGTTGGCAACTTTAAAAAAAATTGGTTATTATAAATATATATTTTAAAACTAAAGGAGTTGAAGAATATTTAAATACAGTTTTGCTGTGAATTCAGCTTGCTTATCATTAAAGTTTATATGCTGTACAAGACATGACAAAGCTGGTTGCCAAAGGTGGCAAGTTAAGAATATAATGCCACAGAATACGTGAGCCTGACATGTAACAATAAATGTGTTGTCACTAAATTATTATTTAACATATCTTTATTAAAGTAAAAAATGACATTAAAACAGCAGGCAAACTATGATACCCGTATTAGTAATGACAACAAGTTCTTGTAATGCAGTGGGGACACAATTCTGTACTGCAATGGGCATTTTCATTTGAAGGTTGGTAAAACTGTTATTATCAAAGACAGTCTCAAGATCCTTCGGTTCTAACTGAACTTCAGCATCGACCACTGTCCTTTCACATTCATCTGGAGAATCGCACTGAAGACTGTTTTCATCTTCTTCAGGTGAATCCATACACCAAATCTTCAATGGGGGAAAAAAAGAATAAATACAAAAAACATGAATTATTAAATACAAATAATTTGATTACACTTACTGTAAACAGAATTATTTGAAGGAAGAAAAATAAATTTGATAAATAAATTAATTTAATGAGAATTTTTTTTAAAAATTTTTTAAAAGAGAAAGCTGAATTGAAATCTCCTTAAAAACCATCTTCCAACAATAAAGTAAAGACTTTACAGGTTAAAAAAAATGTCACAATATAAAAATAAATAAAAAGAAAACATCTTTATCAAGTCAGAGATGTGATTGCTTGAAGAAGAAATTATCTAATTTTTTGTCAATAGATAGTTTTTTTAGAACATAATTTTTTTTTCCTCTTTGAACGTAGAAAAAATTTAAAAGACTGTCATTCTTATGTGCAAAAGTAACATTTACAAAATTTAAAGAAAACACTTTTTTAGCCAATATATTTTTTCCTCATGAACACATAAAAGAATATATTGAAAAATCTTACGTATTCCTCTTTTTTTGCTATTTGTGAGTCTTATTGCATTAAAAAAAAAAGGAATTTTAAAAAACAGTGAAATTTATGGCTATAACTGAAAAAAGATTGATAATAAAACCATACGTATTTACGATAAAATCACACAAATTGGACACCTCAAAAAGGGGATAATTAAGATTCCAGTGTTATAAAAAAAATAGTATCATATTAAAAACAATGAGATATTAAAAAACACGTAAAAATTAGTAGTTATATATGCTGGAAAATTTATTGTAAAATAAAAAGAATTATTGCATCAAATAGTGAATACTGACGTGCGTGATTAAAATTTTTCATATCACAATAATATCAGGATTTTAAAAAATCATGTGAAAATCAACAGCAACAAAAAGTACTCTGATCGAGACACCACACAGATTTAGAGTATATCAAGCGTAAACGTCAGAAAGTATTTACTCAAATGAGCAATTCGAATAACTCATTTTTTAATAATATCACAAGAAAATATCAAGATTTAAGAAAAAAACCACGGGCATTAGTAGCAATAACAGTAAAAAAGTTGATCTAAAAAAAAAGAAACAGTGATATTGTCACATCAAAAAATCTCTAATAAATGCACAAATTGAATTATATGTGTTGTAATAGTAATGTATAAAAAACATAGGGATTTAAAAAAAACAAAAAACATTGAGAAATTTTGTAGCAATAATAGTTGTCAAAAGGATTGAAACCGCACACGGATTTACCTCTGTATTGACGCAAATGAGTGCGTTAAAAGTTATGACTCAAATGTGTCATTCAAATTTTGCATGTGGTAATACTATATTAAAAATCAATTGCTTTAACTGTGATTAAAAAAGAAAAGGAAGAAAAAAGATCAAAACACAGATTTACAACAATATGGAGGATGTTGAAATATAGTGATTGAAATACATCATTTAAAACTTCCGTGCTGTAATATATTAAAAATTAATTCTATCTAATTGTATCCAAATAAAGAAGTGGCAATTTTATTACATTGATTAAATAACTGATTAAAAGATAAGTTAATAAAAAATTGAGAAAAACACTATTTTTTCAAGCAAACAATTTTTCAAACGTTTGCCATAAAGTTTTTATAAGATTATGATCAACTACATTTTTATGCTATAGTTTCTTGGGATTATTCAGATAGTTTAGCATTCTTTTGTTATTGCAATTCTTATTAGTATGCTATTTCTAAGGTTAACTAAATTCTTACTTTTTTTAGACAAATTAAGATATGCTGAATAGAACATTTCTTGAAAAAAAATTTCATTTCCGAAATATATTCAAAATATAGACCATTTTATGTTACCATAAGATCAGCTATAAACTCTGTAAATATATAATGTTGCTATATAAAAACATTTATACATTATCATAATTATTTATTTTATACAACCCTTAAAAAAAAACAAGGTAATTTAAAACTTTAAGTTTAAAAGTTAAATGGGGGACCGAAATCGAGGTGATTTGGGTCACCGTGACTGGCTTGGTGATGAGAGGGTCTGGGAGTCACCACAGATGACGAGCTTGTCACTGAAGTGGACAGATCGGTGATGGATTTGGATATTCAGCAAGTTCAAAATATCTGACAACACACAGGTAGTTTTCCTTATTCGCTATCATACTCTTAGTATCTGGTAATCAAAAGCTTGCTTGTTTCGATAGTTTTCTTATGCTTACGCATTTTTTTTTCTCATTTAATTTGACTTCTTTTCTTCAAATTTTTAAAAGATGGCTCTAGTGAAAAAAAAGTTTTCAATATCTGAATCGGAAATGATAATTGAACATTACAGAAATGAGTTTTATTTTATTATTAATAATTTTGGAAGTTAAAAATATTATTATGATAAGTTGTAATAACTTCAGTTTTCAAAAATTTTATCTGTTAAAGTAAAATTGCTTAACTATCTGCTAAAACGCAGGCATTTTAGAACTTGTTTCTTTTCACCAGTGTGTCACAGCAGTGTCTAGAATCATTTTGATTCCCTCACCTCGATTGCGGCTGCCCAATTGCTAAAAGTGTTGATTGTTCAAAGTGTGTTGTTTTACTGTATTGAAATTTATGTTTAAGCTTATATTAACTACTTTTTATTTTTCATTAATTATGGTTAAAAATTAATTCAATTTTGTAATTTAGATTTAATGTAGTTTAGTTAAGAGTTTTCAGTTGAAAATGCAATTTATATCAACAAAATAAAATATGAAATCTATTTCAATAATATGAAAACATTACAATAATATGAAAATTAAAGAATAATTACGCTATGAAATATTTCAATAAGTCTAATTCAAAATTTCTTAAGATGAAAGCTCTCAACTAAAATAAGTCAATAAGTATGAAAGAAAATATAATGATAAACGGAAAATTTTATTCTTCTGCTAAAGAAATTTCTATTTAAATACAATTTTAATTTTTTCCCCTCATAATTTAATATAGATCTGCATTTTAAATTAATCCATTTAATATGAACTAACTTAGTAATATAATAAAAAATTCATATACATTATGACATTTCTTATATTTCGGGTTAAAAAAAATTCAACTTTACATACATTGATACTCGTGGCAGAATCCTGGCGGCACGCTAACATTGTCTCGGAACATTTTAAAATTCGTACAGCATGATTTTTTCCTTTGGAAAGTAAAAAACCGCGGAAATTTTCTAAAGATATTTTTTTCTCTGCAGAATTATATTCAATAGATGCCTTTTTTGCGCATCAGAGGAGAAATAAATGCTTGTGATTGTTCTCTTCTCATTAGAGAATAAAATAGAAATTCAATAATTAAGGGGTTAAGCTAGAAAATTTTTGATCAATAATATATAGGATGCATATAGGAAAAAAATGTGAAACCATACATGTTTAAAACATAGTTTGCTCTACAAATCATGCTCTTTTTCTTATATTTTGTATGATCACCATATTTCACATTTTAATAAAATATAACTGTGAGAATTTTGTTATAAATTTAGATTTGTAGCAAACATATTAATTAATCAATGTGGTATGTTTGTCTTTCTTTATAATTTGATTGAAATAAAATCCATCCAATATTTTAGAAATTATGTACATGAAAATTTTAAATCGCACATTTGATTCATTGCTTCAACATTCATAATTCATGCTGATTACATCGTAAATATATGTAATGTTTTGAATTCTTTTTCAACAATTATTGCTTTTAATTTTTACTCGGTTGTTTAAAATCCGATGTATTTTGTTGCTTAGTTATTATTATTGATATTCTCACAATTTTAAAAAAAAAATACCAATATCATTAAGGCACGATAAGTTCGAATAGCAGATCCAAGAAATAACAATTTGATATGCTCAGTTTGCGCTTATATCATAAACAATGCAGTATACATATTATAATCATTCTTTTTACTGTTATTGCAATAAATTTTCACATTAAAAAAAATCCCAGTTTCTTTACAGTTTTGTTACACACAAAGCTCAAATTGCTTATTTGATTATTTACTCTTCATGTGACGATTTCATTGTCCTTTTTTTACAGTTAATGCTAGAGCTATCAATTTTTACAGGGTTTTCAAAGTATCGGTTATTTGTGAGTTGATATTATTTCTACACATAAAAATTAAATTGCACATTTAAACAATTGCTTTTCAGCAGTTATTGAAATTGGTTTTCAAATATAACAACATATTTCAAAGAACGTGGTAAATTCAAAACACGGATTTAAGTATTTACTTTTTAACTTAATGATTCAATAGATATTTGTTAGTAGATATAGCAACTGATTCCTACATAGTTTTTAAATTTGATATTTTGAATGATATTATTCACTACAATAACAGAAACACACATTTGAACAAACACACATTTAAATAGCCCCTTTTTGAAGAGTTCGATTGTGGTGGTTTTGCCATTGATCTTTTTATTGATAGTTACTGCTAAGTATTTTACAATTCTCAATTAGTGTGTTTTCCCCTATACATAAAATAAGAATATCGACATAATATCACAATAAAAAAATATCAAATGTTTCATAAAAATTTTTATCAACAGATTGATTTAATCTGAAAAGGTTTCTTTAAAAAAAAATAATAAAAAAAACACAATGCTCCTGTTACATTAAATTATTAATATACGTAATTGTTAATATTAAAATTATCTTACTGAAAGATATTATTGCAAGAGAGCTTTCAAGCAGAAATCCCAAAAAAAAATTATGCAACAGGGAATTTCTCCTGCTAGAAGCAATGGAAACTCCAACAGGGTTGTCACCTAATTTCAGAAAAAAAAATTCTCTGACTTTTCAAGAAAATTACAATGTAAACCCAGATTATATTTTATGTATACCAAGCAATTTTTCCTCAGAAAACTATAACTTTCATATTTGGTGCATCAAATATTAAATTTTATTAGGAAAAAAATATCATTGAATGAAGATCGAAACATGGAAAAGTTTCATTAAAATGCTGAATTTCTGCAACAAATAATTATAATAGATGTGAAAATTACTTAACTCAAATCTTAAATCAACGAACCCTGTTACTGTCACCGACAATTTTAAAATTAGTTATTTTTCAGGTTATTGTAAAAAAAAAAAAAAAATTCAATTTTCCTGCTTTTTATAGTCAAAATAAAATTCCCTAACAATTCCAGGTTTTCTCTGACTTGTATTTTATTTTTAGAATGCTAATGATAACAAAAAGATAATTTTTTAAAAACTAAGCTTTTATGCTATTTATCTAGAGTAAATTATTTGTCGTCACTTGATATTTTAACCATGCCCTGAATCTGTTATTTTCAGTTCCCTGTAAATTATTCTGAAATATGAGATGTTTAATTCTTCTGTCAGGTCGAGTCATAAGTAACTTCTGTTTTTTTATCAAACATTTATTTTGCCCTCATTGAATAACAAAATTATATTAATTTATTATGTAATCACCACTATTATCTATAACCTTCTCCCATCTTCTTGGTAATTTATCAATTACTTCCTTGTAAAATGTGGTTGGTTTGGACTGGAAGAAGTTTTCGACAGCCTGCCTGACTTGCTCTTTAGAATTAAAGGTTTTTCCACTCAAAAAATTTCGTAAGGAACAGGAAAGGCGGTAGTCTATTGGTGCAAGATCCGGAGGATAAGGTGAATGAGGTAAAACAGACCATCTAACCTCAAGAATTTTTCTTGAGTCACTTTTGCTGTATGTGGTAGTGTATTATCGTGTAAAAGAATGACGTTTTTGTGATTGACGAGTGCCGGACGCTTTTCATGGAGTTTTTCTTGCACTCTCTGCAACTGCTGAACCTATCTATCCACAGTAATTGTTAAATATGACTTCAAAAACTCGTGGTAAATTATTCCTTGACAATCCCACCATAAAATCTTTTTGCCATGGATGTTCGCTTTCAGATCTGGTAGGGGTGGTTAATCATTATCAAGCCACTGCCTTTTGCAGACTATATTGTCATAGGTAACCCATTTTTCCTCGCCTGTTACGATTCTGTTTAAAAAAGGCTCAACTATTACCCGTGAGTAGGACTGGGTGATATTAGAAATTATATATCGTGATGCATCGTCAGTTTTGCATCGCGATATAGCGATGTATCGCGATATAGTATTTTTGAATTTCATTTACTTGTTAGGCACAGACAGTCAGATTTCTATCAAAACTTCATACTCAGATTAATTTAAGTCAATTCCTAAATTTGAAGATATATATGTTTTTATGAAGAAAGATATTAAATAAATTGACTACAATGTACAAATTTTACTTAAAATATTTAATGAAATGTTTGTTTAGAAATTCATAATACGTGTAAAACAAAATGTTAAAAACTTTTTTTAAAGCGTTTTTAACAAATTAATATTTTCTTGTACTATTATGCATAAATAATTACATAATTATTAAGTTCGATCGTAATGTTCAATTTCTAAATGAAACGTTAAAAATTATTTGTATGTTTAAAACAAAGTGCTAAATAAATTTTAGAAAAAAAAAAACCTTTTAAAACACAATTTTTTATTACTATCGTTTCAGTTATTATAGTTCATTTACGTCACACTAGAGCTGCACAATGGGCTATTGGCGACGGTCTGGGAAACATCCCTGAGGATGATCCGAAGACATGCCATCACAATTTTGATCCTCTGCAGATGGGATGGCACCCCCGCTTCGGTAGCTCGACGACCTGCACGCGAAGTCGAGCACTTTACGGTAGAACAGTTTAACGAGGACCAATACCGCACACCCTCGGTCCCTACGCAGACTGATCCAAGTGGTCACTCACCCGCACACTGACCGCAGCCAGTGATGCTTGACTTCGGTGATCTGCAGGGAACCGTGTCTTAACGATCAGTCCACTGCGGGACCTTATCATTTCAGATAAATAATTAAATTAAATTAAATAATGACCGAATTATGAACGAAAAACAAAGTAAGATTTAATTTCTTAAAAATAAAAAAATTGTGATATTCGATAATATATTTAGCTAATTAACAAATAATATGAAAAGAATATTTTTTAAAAAAAATTATTATACTCTCTAATAAAACGAAGTGCTAAATGATTTAAAAAAATGAATAAAATACGCAAACCTTTCAAATTTTTTTGTATAAACAAAGTTGATTGACTTATGTCCAAATCCAAATGACAAAAATAAATTTTGTTTTAACTTTATTTCAAAAAATGAAAACAACACGATTTATAAATTTAAAATCAGTAATAAAAACTCATTAAATTATTAGAAGTTTCATCCAAAAAGTTTTTAATAAATTAAAAGAAAGTAAAAAAATAACCTAATAAATTCCATTTTTTATGGGCGCCTAAATTAGAGTGCCGATAATTTTCGCATTTAAAAATAAAAAGAAGTTTTTTTAAAAAAAACTTATCTAATTGATGAAGAAACTCTTCTTCATATATTCTTTTCAATAATTGATTGCCTTCAGAACAAGGTAACATCGGCGATCACGAAGTTAGTCCCACTGAAAATAATCTGCAAGAAAAGTCGCGACAAAGAATAAAAAAGCTAAGAGGTGCGAAAAGGAACATGCAATATAACAATGTGTTCTCAAAACTCTGATTCTGATTCTACAGCTCACCAATCAAGGCCATTTCAACACAACGAAACGAACATCGTCTTCCACAGCGTGAGTCGACATCGGAACGTAAGAGAAGAGTCTTATATCGCTATATTGTCTTCTTATATCCTTGCGTGTCTTATATCGCTATATCGTTTTGCGCTCGTTGTCTTTACTCGACGGCTTAAATCAGATTTCTGATGCATCGCCTTGAATGAAAGTCGCTGTATCGTCTTGCGGATATATGCGTTAAATCGATATGTGTCGATACATCGATTTATAGCCCAGTCCTACCCGTGAGAGCAGACTTGTGGTGATTGACATGGGATCTTCTTTATTCTATTCACTGAGATTGTGAGGTAGTTTTGTTGATAGTTATCACTAATTTCTCCAGGTGGCAGTTAACGGTTGATTGTGATGTATCAACCTTTCTTCTAATTATCTGGTTAATTGACGTGGATTTTGCTCCAATATTGCTATTAAACGGTGTGTTTTCAAAGTCAGAAGGATGTCCCGCCTTTGGTTCGTCTTTTAAGGTCGTATTTCCAGAACGTAATTTTATAAACGAATTTCTAAGTTCCCAATCAGTTACTAGTCCTTCACCATATACACTGCATATTTTTTTAACTGTCGCCTTAGCACTATAGCCTTGTTTAAATTCCAAAAGCATTACATAACGAATATGTACTTTTTGACTCTCCATTTCAGAGGTTAAAAAAAAAAACAGTTAAGCGTAACATGCATCACACAAAACAGTTGACAAAAAATTAACTGAAGCCTCATCTATATAGTGAAAATAAAAACTAGTTGTCATGGTAACTCACAGCAGGTAGATACATACAATAGATTCTACTTAGCTGCATCGAAAGTTACTTATGACTCGACCTAATAACTCCCATTAAGATACTTCATCCATCAAAACAATTAATTTTATTACTTCTTTGGGAGGATTTCCATATTGGACAAGCACTGAAATAATCCAGCAGTGGCATGTTAGAATCTACAAAAAAAATCCTCATAGAATAAGACAATTTTGAAAGGTACCACCCTGGGTAGCTACAACACATTTGATTTTTTTTTTAAAACTAAACAAGAGGTCTACTAAAAATGAGCAGGTACTCATACAAAAATATTCAAATTACATTGAATCCTTTGATGTTATGGAAAGAAAAAAAAATGTTTCACAAATAAACGACTCAGTTTATAAAATCTAATGAGAATAAAATAGAATTGCTTGTATGTAATAAAAAATAGAATTTTTAAATATTTAATGGTCATAAGTGGAAGAATCACTACAAAGCATTGACTTTGCAAGAAATTGAATACAGGTCTTAAAACAGTCTAAATATTTATAAATCTTGAAGAGTACTGACATGAATTGACCAATGTTATATTTTTTAAAGATGCCAAAAGAATTTATTTGAAACGAAAGACGTAAGAAAAGTGGGTCACAAAAAAGAAGTTTTGGAAATTTAAAGTCTAATTAAATATGACTAAATTGTTAATGTAAAAAATTTTAATAGAATGAAAAAAAATTTATGCAAAAATAACTACCCGAGAGAATTGTGCTCGTGAGTCAGAAATCAATTTAGATATATTAGAAACATTTTTTTTTTTTTTTTGAACAAGAAGGCGTAAGAATTGATAATAATTACTTTATATCAAGAGCATTTTCAGAAAACTATCGGATGCGATTCTATTAGAAATCTTCACAAAGAAAATTAATCTATGACAGTTATATTAAACTAAGTCTATCCAGTCAGTATTAGGATAAAATAAGCAATTATACTGTTAAACAATGAAGTAATACGTCTAATTCCCATATGGTTCAAACTAAGTAAATTTAAAAGTACCATCGGTAAAATAAATCAAAAATTTCAAATAACCTAAAATAAACTGAGTTTTTAATACAATGATCAACTCATACTTATTAAATCAACCGGTTTGTTTTGTTTCCAGAGACCAGGATGTGTCAACAACTATGGCGTCATTCACAATCTTAAGTAAGTACTGCCAAGAACTATTTTTACTGCGAGTAATAAATTAAAAAACAACGGAAAAAATGTCCCCTTATTGTAAAATTTAAAAATGATGATATATGAAATACTAAATTGTATAGAAAAAAAAATGCAAATTTAAAGTTTTTTGCCTTAATAAATAATTAAAAAATAGTAAAGATTTTGCAGTTTCACTTTACGATTACAGTTACACTTTTGTTGTCTTGATGATATGGAAAATTAAATACAATCAAATTTATTGATTACAACATAAGTGTTTGTTTGTTTTGTACTAAAGTACAAATTTTCTGTTTTAACCTAGCTGCTAACTTACATTATATTTGTATCCCATAAATTCTAGCCGGTGATATGACGTTTCGACTTCCTTTTCATGAATCTCATTAATGTACTTGACAATTTTCAAGTGTGTTTCTAATATGAGCGATTGTCAATTTTTGCTTAAACAACATGCAAAATTACTATGATGTGTCACATGAAAAAGCAGTTTCCTGGAAAAGAACGAACAACGTCCCTGGAAGGTAAGTTTCATCCAGCCGTTTGTTTTAAATATAACGTGGCATTGATTGCTATTTCTATCAAGGAGCTCTCTAAAATATTCATTGCATTTTTAGTTAAATTATTCTCAGTATCAAGTAAGAAACATTTAACACTTTTCTTAATATTACTTAGTTATCCGAAATAGTGTAAATATTTTGAACTCTCAGTATTACATTCAACACAGTGTTTATGTGTTAAATGTAATTTAAGGGTTTAGAGGACTTTCTTACAGTTTTATTCAAAGGCTTTATTCCGTTTTACTTGAGGTTAAATGGACATCGACATGTATGTGCAGCTCTTAATCAGTGTTAAGTGAGATAATTTGTTCTTTCAAACAAAGTTATCTCTTTTTTAAGTAATTATTTCACCAGGGTATTTACTTTATTTACATGTTACTATATATTAGGGGTGCACAACCTNCACAAAAAGTGATTATTTAAATTAGCGATCTGAAACTCGCGTCGTAATAAAAATTCGGGATTTTCGAAATCACGTAGAAAAGCGGAAATAACCGTTTAAAAAAATCATTTATATTTACGATAAAATCGGCTTAAAGAAAGCGCGTTAAAAACGTGATGACTTAAAAGTGCGATTGAAAATTGACATTTTTTAAAATTTTTTTATTGTGCTTAGATGCTCTCGCGGGCCGCACTTCAGTAGTCGAAGGGCCGCATTTGGCCCGCGGGCCGCAGGTTGTGCACCCCTACTATATATAATGATTAAACTATAAAAAAGGATATTTCTTTATCTATGTCTGTTTGTGCCTACTACCAGTGATTCTGCTCACACACTATAACATGTCAAATATGCAAAGAATCATACAATATTCAGACTTAAATTGCTTGTTGAATTCAAAATCCAAGCTTCATTTATAGAACATTTGCATACAAGCAGTTTAAGAGTCGTAATTCTTAACTCTACTTCTGGCATTTTACTGGCACCAATCACTTTACTATTAAGGAATTTCATTCTTCAATTAATAAATTTCAAGGTTTTTTTTTTGAGTCACAGTAACCTCTGGTTATTTGTGTTTATGTGAGGCTTCCAAAATAAAATGGTAATGAAATCCCACCAATTTTTAGTGCTTAAAGCAATTTTTGGTACTTAAAGCAATTTTTAGTACTTAAGCCAATTTTTAGTACCTACTTAAACATTATCTTCAAAACTTTTTCTTTTAAAATGTTAATATTTGGTCAACCTTTCATTTGAATTTTGTTTTCCAAAATGGGGCATGAACCTTGAAATCATAAAATCTGGTTAACATGCATACTAGCTGTATTACTGAGTTTGGTTCTTGAAAAATTTGATTTGAGGTCCTTGAAAATCAATGAAAAGTCCTTGAATTCTTTTAATATTGAATAAGAATTTTAATAGAATTTTTATTTACAAAATTTTTTAAAATTGCGCTTTGCTTTTAAACGAGCACATTAGTAGAAAATTATACTTGATACTTTATGTATACTTTGATGCTTTGTGTATACTTCTAAAAATTATTTTATTTCGACTATTTTCATATAGTGACTGAAATTTAAATTTTCTTTTTTATAGACCTGTATCTAGTTCCGTTCACAATTTGCAGTTGACCTCAGATTCAAAGTAAGTTAAATATCTCATATCTGAGAATCCCAAATTTTTAAAACTCCTGAGCCATATTAATTAAAATAACCTCATTTTTTCAAATGTTATTCATTTGATTCTGCAAAGAAAAAAAAAAATTTTTTTTTTTGCTGCTGCATTTAAAATTTTACATTTAGTTTTTAAATTAAATTTTTTCGTTTAATTAATGTTTTTCTTTGTTTATCGTTTAATATAAATTTCATAAATTCTTCCAACAATCATTGAATGTAGTGAAGAAAATTTGAAATTTTTTTTTTTAATAAATACCTTAGTCATCATTATAATTTACAGTAAGACCCCGCTTAACGCTATTTTGTTTAGCGCTATTTTATTTCAACAGGGGGATTCCCCGAAATTGTGCACAGGGAGTCCCCCAAATATGCACAGAACATATCCGAAACAACGTAGTTTTGTTTCTTGTTTGGTGCGGTGCTGTACGAACGCATTTTTATCATTTGAAACATTTGTTGACATTATTGTAAGCACACATAAATTTATATAATACAATAACGATTAATACAGTGACAAATATTATGACCTTTAGTTTTTATCACGAGTGATAATGAAAAACAAGAAAAGAAAACAACCCGAAAAACTATTTCACTGGAAACTAAAATGCAAGTGAATAGAAGATTAGATTCTGGTGAACGTCAATCTCAAATTAGTGCTGCATTGAATTTGGCAACTTCAACTATAAGGATAATTCTTAAGAATAAAGAAAAAATACTGTCCTCGGTAACTGCAACTACGTCAAGCTCTGCAACTAGAATTACCCGTTCCAAAAATAACATTATAGAGGAAATGGAAAAACGACTGTCTATATGGATTGACCACGAAATTGAATGCAATATGCCATTAAGCCAATCTATCATAATGGAAAAAGCTAGAAGAATTTTTAATTACACAGGGTTGCCACTCCACAGGGAGAACAGGGAAAGCCTGGAAAATACAGGGAATTTAAAAATCACTTAAAATAACAGGGAAAATGTAGGTAAATTTGATTTTTACTTTACAAACTGGGAAAATACAAGGAATTTTGTTTCTTATTTTTGTCTTTTAAAAAATGGTGACCACTCAGAGCTTAATCTATGGGATGTTTAACCATGATATTTAAGCTATTATACTAAACTATTTCATTTACTAAAGCATTATTTAAGTATGTTCAGCTGTTCTTCCAGCAATTAAAACTAATAAATATAGTTAGCCCAACAATTGCTCACACAAGAGCCCAGTAATTGTTGTTTTCTCTTAATATATTTTGCATAATATGTACAGGAAAAATACAGGGAATTTTTTTCTCCAGATTTGAGTGGCAACCCTGTTACATTCAGGTTGATGTAAGTGACATAAGTGAAACTTTCGTTGCTAGTCGAGAATGGTTTAATAGATTTAAACATCGAAATAATCTTCACGACATAAAGATTACGGGAGAAGCAGCAAGTGGTGATACGAAAGCAGGGGTTGAATTCCCTGTGACATTAAAAACATTAATTGAACAAGGAAACTATCCTCCAGAATTTTTTTTAATGTTGATGAAACAGGCCTGTTTTGGAAAAGAATGTCAAAACGAACATTTTATATCCCGCGAAGAGAAACGAGCACCAGGATTTAAAGCCACAAAAGATCGCTTAGCACTTCTACTGGGTGGTAACGCAAGCGGAGATTTCAAATTAAAACTGCTACTAGTTTACCACTCCAAAAACCCAAGAGCAATTAAAGGCATATCTAAATCAACTTTACCTGTAATTTGGGAGTCTAATAAAAAATCATGGATAACTATGAAAATTTTCCAGGATTGGTTCACTGAACATTTCTGCCCATCTGTTAATCATTATTGCGAAATTAAAAAACTTGAACAAAGAGCACTACTATTAATTGATAATGCTCCAAGCCACCCAGCAAATTTATCAGACTTAACAACATGCATTCCAGTCGAAGTGGTTTTTTTGCAGCCTAATACAACTGCCTTAATCCAACCAATGGACGAAGGCGTTATATCCAATTTTAAGGCTTATTACTTGCAGCGGACATTAAAGCAGATATTTGACAAAATAGACGGAGAAGAGAAGCAATCAATAAGAGAATTTTGGAAAAACTACAATATCATGAATGCTGTAGAAAACATAAGCCTTTTTTGAAATGAGATAACAGAAAGATCTTTGAAAGGTGTATAGAAGAACATTTGACCAGATTTAAGTAAGAGCGAAGACATTGGACACTCTGTCGATATGGATGAAATAGTAGAATTAGCAAAACAAACCGATTTAGATGAGGTAAATGTGGAAGAGGTCGAAGAAATGGTTCAAGATACAGCAGCTAGTCTTTCTAATGATGAGCTCAAGGAATTAACTGAGCAAAAAGAAAACAAAAATATTGATAGTAGTGATTACGAAGAAGAGCAAAAAGAAGCATTTGTAAAAAGGAGTTTGACCGCTATAACTGAAATTATGGACCAATTTGTTGAAAATGATCCAAATTTTGACAGGAGTTCAAAAACAAGACGGAGTGTTATAGATGCTTTATCCACTTATCAACAACTTCTAACAATAAACAAAAGGAAAACACAAACTACAATAGATGCTTTCTTGACAAAAAGGCAGAAAATTGGAAACACAAAATAGACTGAATGATCGGACTGACTTAGAATTTTATTTGTTTTTATAAGTACGTATATTCGTTTATATATTTTTTATTTTTGTAAAAAATAAATGTTTGGTTTTATTTTAATTAAAAGAACATAATTATTAAATTTAATACTTAACCAATTTTCTATCCATCTTCCCCTAACCTCATTATTTACATGTTAAGATAGCATCGTTTAGCGCTGTTTCGCATTACTCTCTACTTTGATGGAACGTATCCTGCTCGTTAAGCAGGGTCTTACTGTACTTTATTTCATAGATTGCTTGCCATTTTTTAAACGGTAAAAGTATTTTTATTATAGGAATATTAGTCCTAGAAAAAATTCTTCAAAGACGAAACATCGTAAAACGTCGTCTTCTAGTTCGTTTCAAGAATTTCAAGATAGTACTGAGGATGCTTGGGACATTGGGGATGATGAATTTTGTTCAACAGCAGGTAGTTTTGATTTCATTTTGTAATATTCTTAGAATCATAATGTAAATAAAGCTGTTATCTAGCCCACTTAGTTATTGGCTTACAATTATTAATTCTTATGAAGTATTTTTGTAAGAGAACATAACATTTATTTTATGTTTTCAACAGAGAAAAAAAAGCACAGCTGTAGTGAATTTCTTATAATCTAGGTATTGCTAATTCCTATCCTTACAAAATTTTTATAATGACACTATGGCTATGTGATAGTATATTTTCTGCAATTTTTTTGGGTACTTTCTCAATTTTTTCCTGAAAATTTTAAAAACATTATTCAATTTAGACTTGCAGACAGGACACTACTCATTGCCTATAAATTTCATTCATTAAAGTCCACTTGTAGTTAGACACAGAAAGCGTCGTATCCTCTTTCTAGCACGGGTTCTAATAAAATAAAAAACTTGAACTCTCAATATGAGAGTAAGTTGACTTTAAAAGTTTACTATAAATATGCAGGAGAAAGTCCCACATACAGAATTGTCTGAACTTTGGCAAGTTTGGAAAATAGATTTTTCAAAATACAGTAGAAAACCATTTATCCGGTATTCAGAGAACCGTGAAAAATTTTGCTCAGTTTTCCTTTGAACTAAAATGATTAAGAAAAAAAGCAGAGATTTGACTCATCCTTTCGTTGAGTAATGGAAAATGTGGTGAAGGGGATAATTTTTCTCCCCGTTTGTCCAGAGAAACTTGATTTCTTCAGTGACCTTGAAGATCTTTAGATAGAGAGGAGGCAGGAAAGGGACAAATGTTTTATTTTCTCCTATGTGTTCCAAAAGAATAGTTATTTTTTTGATAAGCTGCCGTCGGTCAAATTTAAAAGAGTGGCATGCTGATTTCGTTTTCTCTTCGATTTATGAGGGGGTGGGGAAAATGCATTGCACACACATATCAGTGAAAAGAAGATGAAAGAGAAATAAAAAAGAAAAATATATCCTCTTACTTTACAAAGAAAAAGTAAAATGGAAGTACGAAAACAATTAAAATACGGCTATTTTTTATTAAATAATAAAGTAGGAATATAGTTAAGCTGAATTTAATCATTTAAAAAATAATCACTGTGGGACTGCAATCAAATACCAAATGGATTTACGCTAAATCGAACTAACGTTTTCGAAAACTGAAAAATAATTATGCACATTTGTGCAATTCGGAATTCAATAATAATAATAATGCACGTAATAGTTCAATTTAGGAATATCAGAATTTTTAAAATTTCTTGGAATACTGCGAGTGCAATTTGAATTTAAAAAAACAAAAAAAAAAACATGCAAGTTGTTAACACTAAACATACGGTAACTGGTCAAAAAACCAGTTATTATATGTTGTATTGTAAAGTCATTGGTATGTTTAGTGTTTAAAACAAAATCAGAGCAAATCGAATGCTTGTTTAAAAAAAGTTTTTATTGAAATGCACAATTCAAAATGCATACACAATAATATCTGATTGAACGTGTCAGGATTAAGAAAGATCATTTAGAAATCTGCAACAGTAATTGCTGAAAAATATATGGCTTTACAGTGAAATCAGCAGTGCCGTTCCTGGGGTGGCGAACGCCTGCGTGCAAAAATAATTTTGTGCGCCCCTATATACTATGCTTAAATTTTGATGATAAGGCCAATTTTCATAATCATTTTTAGTTTGAGGTTTAAACTGAATAGTTTCCTTATAGACTAAAGTCACTTTAGTGTAAGTGTTTGATTATGAAAATGGGCGTAATAAAATAAAACAACGAAAAAATATGACAAAAATTTTTTTTCAGACATCAAATAAAATAGACTATTAACGTACAATATAGGTCATAAATAAAACACGTCCATTCGGAAATTAACAAAAAATCTAATATAACTCAATTCACTCAACTGAGTGAATTGAGTTAAAACTCTCAAACGGCGCTCAACGCAAACAAATCCGTTAACTTGAAAATGTGCAAGATCTGTCTAATACCTAAGTACCTAATTATCAAATAACAAGGTAGTTTTAGAACATAACACATCTTGCTTTTGCAGATGCAAGCTCATTGATCATTTCATTGTGATCGATGGCTTCACATATTTTATTTTCGATTGAAATAACAGCTAAATCTGAAAGCCTTTCCTGGCACATCGAAGTTCTCAAATAAGATTTTACAAGTTTTAGCTTTGAAAAACTCCTTTCGCCAGACGCAACAGAAATCGGCAGCGTCAAAAATATCCTATCCAATATCCAATATTGTAAATTTTTAATAATTTGCTATAATTTGATTTTTTTCGAATAGTTGAATTTGGCGCCCCTTAAATTGGGCGCCTGCGTGCGGGGCATTCGCTGCATACCCGCCAGGAACGGCACTGGAAATCAGTAAAAACTTGAAAGAACATAGTCGAAAATCATAAGGTGATTACACACCTGCACAATCGAGCTTCATTAGATGTAATAGTTCAGTTGTAAAAATATTTTTTTCTTACAAATATTTAGAAATCCATAGTCGATGAAGTGGTTTGATAAACAATGTAGATTCACTGCAAAATCGGCGTGAATTAAAAATACATAATTTAAATGTTCAATTTGAAATTCTTTTGCTGTATTAATATTTTATTAAAATATCAGGATTTATAAAAAAACGTTGAAATTCATGAAAATTATTCCTAAAAAATCACATGGATTTGCGATGAAATGGGCGCAAAATCAAGCCTGTCGTGTGTTTCCTTAGATGTGTAATTCATAATAAATTTGTAATAATTTCAAATTCAATTCATTTCGTATTATACAAAAAGAATGCCAAAACACATACCATTTATATTCACTTCAGCAAAATAATAATAATAAGAGACAATTGTTTTTATCCACAGCAATCGCATAATTTTTTGCAAGGTTCATAATTTCCGAATTTACCTTCACAATTTTTTGGGTCACATGGACTCGGAAGCTTTGGTCAAAATGCGGCCTAACTTATAAATTTGCACAAAAACCAGCAATATGGTACACACGGTAACCACAAATTCTCAGATAATTATATTTAATTGTAAAAACACAATGCTTAGAATGCATATAAATTATTATTATTTTGATATTTCTTTAAATAATATTGTTATAATAAGTATTTTTCTCATTTTGTACTAAAAACAGATGTAAATATGTATTTAGCAGAATTTCAAATTTTGAAAATAAAAAAAAATTTAAAAATAGGGTAGTGAAACTATTCTTACTGACCACCAACATTTTTCAAGTTCTCAGAGCCTTGTGTTAATTTTTTCTGTAAATATATTGCTGATTTAAATTTAATTATTCCAGTTGATGAGGTGCAATTGGTTAGTAGACTGTTGTGAAGAACTGGAGCTCGATCCTCAGTGGCGGCTTGAAGCCCATGCAGGTTCAAATTAAAGGGTACCAGTTTATTTGGGAAGTAAAGATTCCTTCCTGTATGCAATGTTGACCTTATTGTCACAATCAGCATTTTCCACATTGTGGAGCATTATCATCCATGAGTCTCCTGGCACACAAAGGGCTGTTGTAGAACTGCTTTACTTATGTTTTAGTCAGGAAATAATAAATCGTTTGTTAAATAAATATGAAAAACAGAAATTAATTTGCAGCTAAGATAAAGACATAATTTTTTACTATTCCATGACTCAAATAGCAAACAATTTATTACAGTAGAGAACCATTTATCCAGATAACCAGGGAAAATTTTGCTCGGTTTTCCCGCCATTTTAAACTAGAACGATTATGAAAAAAAAAAAAACGTAAATTGGACTCATCCTTGAAGTTGAGTAGAGGAAAATGTGAGGAAGGGGAGTATTTCTTTCCTAAGTTTACCAGAGAAGCGTCGTTTCTTCCATGACCTTGTAGCGGGAAAATGCTTTGCACATGCATATCAGTAAACAGAAGATGAATGAGAAAAATATATTTATCTATTTGACATCGATTAATAAAAATAACATATTTTTCTTTTGAATAAATTCTGATTCTTTGCAAGTTTTTCTTGATGTGGGATCACATCTGCTTTTGTTAAAAATCGTGTTTTTATAAAAAAAATAAAATAAAAGAGAATTGTTTATTAATTTAAACATAGGATTATTTTATGAAGCAGATTGCAATTTTGTTTTTCTGATTCCACTACGTTTGATTTTTTTTTCTTTTCACGATAAATTTTGCTCTCAATAAGTTAATTCTTTTTATTCATAAATTTTATCATTAGATTTTCTTCTTCTTTTTTCTGAATTCCGTTGATCTTGCCTTGTTCCGGGTTTTAATATTTATGTTAGTGCCATTTTTACCTATTGTTTCGGTTTGATAATTTTCGTTTTTATTTAGATTAATAAGTTTTCCTTTTAGTAATTAGGTATGAAATATATTGCGTTATTTAATCATTGGTTTTGTTTATATTAGTTAATTTAGGAATTTTAATTATTTTTAAAAAATAAATATGAGAATTTTGTATTTTTTAAACTTGTTTTCCTTGTCTAAACTTGCAATTTTTTTCATTCTTTTAAATGTTATTTTTCTAAGATTTTTTTTTCTTTTTAAATTTAGGAGTGCTTTTCTTTTTTCTCTTACTTTAAAATGTGTTACACTTTTTCCTTGTAATTTGGGTTCGATGAAACATCGATTAACGACACTTTTTGGTCGATCCAGACATCCGGGATAGCGATGACCCCGATTATCCCGGATAATTGATTCTCTACTGGAATTTTAAAATCTCTTTGAGCCTTGGATAGGAATGAAATAAGTATTTGAAGAAACTTATTTTATGGTTTAAATGAAAATATAGATTCAATATTTAAATATTTTTAAAAAAAAGGATCAAAAATTTGTTGAATTTATTTAAAATATATTTGTCGAATATAAAAAGTGAACAATAATAAAGTAGACACAGATATAGTAAATGCCACTTAATGCCCAATTTTTTCAGTTAATGTACATAATAATTTAATAAATAAAATAAAACCAGCATAAGAACATATGAAATAAAAATGCTTATTTTAAAACTACTATTGATAATTCACAATGTTAATTGTAGCATCATTTTTAAGAGCCTTCCATCAATTTAATGAATGTGCGAATTCTATTGGCGTAAAGTTCAAAACATTTTCTTTTATAATTACATGCCCGATAACGCAAAAAATTCTGACACGGTTACATCTGAGAAAATTTCTCAATATTTTCTTCTAAGTTTTCTTACTACCCCAATTTTTATGTCTTGACATTTTTTTTAAAAATTACATTTTACATTAAAGGCTATGTGCTATTACTATGTGCTATTTATTGCTCGGAGCTTTACAACTTAATTATTCCAAATAAATTAGGAATTTAAACAAAGTAAGACATTTTGATCATAATTTCATTTGTGTTTTCTAAGTAAAACAAAATGATTTTTAGTAGATAAGCATAATGGCACGGCGAAAATTGGCCGAGTAGTTAAAATGTTTAGGAAGTCACAGCGACCTCCATTCCAGACATTCCTACCTTTTTATATCAAAAAATGTCTTGAAAACAAATCAATGTTGAACAAGAAGTGTAGTGATAATAATTTTCGTAGATGCTACTTTTAAAAAAGGTTGCATTGAAGTTTGTGTGCCTTCTTGTCTTGCTTGCTTGAAAAATTTCAACAAAAAAAAAGTAAAACTTAGAATTTGTCATGAAATAATTTGTCAAAGACATACAAATAGAATTTTAAAACATTTATCTTGATTGTTTAAACATATTCATGTCGGAATATTGAAAAAGAATTAAAAAAGGAACTAATCATTCATTTTAATCATTTCACATTATATTCATCTAGTTTCAACGAGGGGAAGAAGTTAAGATTTTAAATATTAATGGAAAAATATCATAGGATAAACTCGAATAGTATACTGATATCTCTAAATTCAATTACTTTACAATTTTATTCTACCATATTTTAACGCAATGACAACAATGCTCATATAATGTTGTTTTGTAAAAGAAATTTACTAACTTTTACAAGATTAATAAATTTTGCTTCATGAAAAAAATATCATTTTTGAAATAAAAGATAAAGCATGCATGTTTAAGAAAAAAAAGTACATTTTTGAAATGAAGTTTAGATGCTTCAGCATTGTGTAATTTAAATACATAAAGATAATATTTGCCTGATTGTGTATATGGTGCCACAAATTACTGTAATCGATTTACCATCTAAAGAACAAGTTTTGTACAGTTTATTCTACATCAAGCACCAATTAAAATTGCAAATAAAGGGATGTAAAAGCAGCTGACGTTTCATTGATCTTGCATCAAAAAATTGCATTGATTTTTAAAATCTTAACTAGTAGTATGACATTAAAGGCATAAATAGCCTACCACGAGAGATAACTGGGATATTTTTAATTCAGCCTTAATGTTTACTTAAGGAAGTTTAAAACTAGTTAGTAGAAAATCGAGGGCAAGTGGTAAAATAAAAGTAATGCCAGCACTACCTCTTCAGTGCTGATAATTGATTAAGAACAGAGTTGCCACAGACTACTAAAATGCAACTATTTACTACTATTTTCGGCCTTAGGCGACTATGGCGACTTTTTTTGCCTGAAAAGGCTAAAAAAGCAACTATTTTCAGGAATAGGCGACTATTAGGAGACTTTTTTTTACTCTTGGCGAAGTTTTTTTTCGCAAAAATGAACGTTACTTTTCAGAACGTTAATAAAAGAAAGCAATCTTTTATACAATCATTTATGTCCAAAGAGCCAAAAATTTAAATTTCCATTGGATTTAATAAAGTACTTGTTATATTTTCTCTCTGAGGGGCAGTTTTGTTATTTTTAATTGTTTTTTCCTTCTATTAACATTCATATTTTATTGTAATTCGACTTTTATTTAGGTACCTATTTTCTAATATGTATACCTTTTATATTTGTACAAAACTTTTTTTTAATTGGAGCATAGTTAGGACTGGGCGATAAATCGATGTATCGC